CTAGTTGAGTCACAGCTGAATTCTCATGCAACATGAGAAAATCAAACCCTATATATATATATATATATATATATATATATATATATATATATATATATATATATATATATATATATATATATATATATATATATATATATATATATATATATATATATATATATATATATATAGGGTTCGCTTTTTCTGCCGTTACTGCATGTAAGTTATCTGTAGTAAACCCAATATGACGTCGTTTTAGGGCGGAAATCATGGTGTTTTTGTAATTTTAATTTATTTCAGGGTTATTATAGTATTTATATTTATAATTTTTTAAGATTTCAATACCAAAACGACGTCGTTTTGGGAATAAATGCAGAAAACGTATCTGCATTAACTGCAGAAATATTTTTCCCATATATATATTGTCCACTTTCTCTTTCTCGTGATCTATCTTTTTCTCTCACTCAAAAAACATAATTTTGTATATTTTAAAATGATATATATTTTTCTCAAAATTTTATTATCATCTCGTAAACGGACTTTAAATAAAGATTATATTTACTCGTTTTACATTAGAGAAACAAATTTTTTATACAAGGTTGGGTTCTACCTCTCTTTTTCTCTCTCTCTTCTTACCCGTGGATCCCATTTGTAATTTTATTCATGGAACATTAGATAACTATTTTCATGGAACATAAAAAAATTATTTACCATAAATTTAAACACATTTTTCTTTATCTCGTTTTAGGGTTTGCATTACAATCTTTTCAGAATTAGTTACTTTTCAATTTTTGGTTCTAATAACAAAAATGGATAGAAATAGTATTTGATAAAACCAATTTATTTTTTTGTTTTCGATAATGAATTAGTTCAACTTTTGTGCGGGGAACAGAAAAAAGAATCAATTTTCTTTTTGCTTTTTTGTTCACGAACACAAAATGAGAAACACTCTTCACCACTACTATCATCACCACTACCACTATCTCGACACGACCACTGCCACCATCACCACCACCGCCACCTCACTACCACCATGTCACCATCACTACCGCTATTATCATTGTCACCACAACCATCACTACCACTACCGTCACCAACGACCATTACCATCGTCGTAGCCACTACCGTCACCACGACCACCATGCAATCACCATCACCACCACCACTACTACCACTATCGCCACCACCACCATCACGCCACTATCATCGTCACCATTACCACCACCATCATCGTAGCTATTATCATCACCACCACTACTATCACCACGCCTAGGGGTGTAAATGGGCCAGGCTGGCCCAGCCTAGCCTACAACCTGACCTACATTAAGCCTGGCTTGGCCCGGCCTTTGAGAAAAGTAGAGTAGGCTTAGGCTTTTAAGAAAGTTTTTTTAACAAATAGGCCGTAGGCCAATTTTGTCAAGCCTGGCCCAAGGCCTTATAGGCTGGCCTATTTAATTTATTAAAAATAATATAATAAAATAATATTTATTTTATGTGGCATGACAAAGTACCAATACCAATCCTAATTTGTAGATGAATGACATTTTCTTGTAGACTTTATTTCAGCACCCAATAATTGTATTTTTCTTGTTTTCCCTATGTCTTTGACTCTATTCCTCTATGCTATACATTCTAAAGCTGGGGTATTATATTAACTCTTTTTTATTTGTTATTTTTTTCTTATGAGAAGTACTAGTGCATTCATGAATGAAACTTTCTTTGCTCTATGCAATTATTTTCTTTGCTTAGTATCTACAGTGGTAGGCCTACAAGGCCTGTAGGCCATGTCGGGCTTTCTTATTTTTAAAAATAGGCCGGGCTTGGCCTACAAATAAAGCCTTTGATAGGCCAGTAGGCCAGATAGGCTGAATTTTTTTTTACGTAGGCTTGGGTCAGGAAGGCCAAAGCCCCGCCCAGCCCAGCCCATTTACACCCCTAACCACGCCACTGTCACCACTACCACCATATTACCATCATCGTCACCATTTTCACCACTACCGTCACTACCACACGCATGAAAAGGAAATTGATGATCCGAAAAAAAATTGCTTAATAGAAATGATTTCCCCCTATTATTTGTTGTATTATCAAACACAATTATCTTTCTCGTTATAAAAATATAACACGTTATCAAATAATTTTTTTTTCCTCATAAACTGTCCCGGGCTTAAAAAGAGGAAATAATTATTTCTTTTCAGAAACAGTGTGAGAGAATAGAATAATTGTAATACACACGTAATACACACCCTTATGAATTTCATCATTAAAATTTAAAAACTGTGATAGTTAATTTATCAATTAATGACTTAAATTTTTCATATGATACGGTCATCAAGTCAGAATAAAACATAAGAAGATATGTTTTTACATATTAAATGATTTCTCTCATGTTAGAATACGGTCATGATTATTTATGGTACTTTTTGATTCGTTTCATGGTTCAGCTTAATTCATATGAATTTTTTTACACTAATATAAATGAGCATACTTTGATTCAATTTGATTTTCTATATTAAACGGAACTGAATTAATAAAATGGTCGTAAGTCTTTAAATCGAACCATTTTTTTTTTTTAAAAAAAAACATCTGTTCTCAAATCGGTTTAACGAAATGATTCAATTTATAGACTTGTTCAAAAAATATTATTTATTGTGCAATTCATGTTATGATTTGATTTAAATATTTTTTTTTGGTAAGTATTTATATGATTTTTTTACACACTGATGCATTTATAATTGGTCTATTGCATTGCACGTAATTCAACTGTTGATTTAATAAATCCTGATTCAATAAGAATTATGGTTCAATTGTTAAAAAAAGTAATAATTTGAAATATATCAAATTACGATAAAATCTAAGTCTAAATGAAGCAGTAACTATGATTGTGATTTGTTTGACAAGTAAAGGAAAACAATACATTTGACATGATTTGAGATCGAAAATTTAAGACGTGTTTTGAACGATTAATTGTAATTAATTAATTATTTTTAGAAGTTAATTATTGTTATCGATTTTGGATTTTGGAGTTGAATTTTGTTAATAAAAATTGAAGATCGAAGTGTTACTCTTTTATATAATCTCAACTTTCTACGTCACACCTCCTATATCAAATCGTCTCACACACACAGGAAAATTTAATCCTCAATAATAAGGTGATATATTGCACCTTTTTTTTGGGGTTAAATTTTAGTACAAATATTTGACAAATAAGGGGGATAACGATGCAAAATGAAAGTAGTTACGAAATAATATTACATAATATGCTGAATTGCATTACACCTATATCTGACTTGAATACTTGTGTTTTCAGTCTAGACGTGATTTTTTAGACTAATTTCATCATATATACCATATAGTTCTTCTTTTTTTTCTTTCTATTATGCCACATTTTATGCAACATTTAAAAATTGAACATACAGATTAGGGAAGAAAACGTTCATTTTTCTAATCCACAGCATTCTATATAAGTTGCTTCAACAAATTTGCGATTTTGTTTAGGATGATTAGAGCAATTTTTGCACTAAGATAAAATATATTTTTAATTGATCATAAAGATAATTTCCTTATCTTAAATTTCTGTCAAGGAAAGTGTTGGAATATATATATATATATATGTTTGATGTTTGTCATTTTAAACGATATAAGTTATGTCATTTTAAGAGAGAGATAAACACAACGAATGAAAATTATGAGAGAAGAAGTGAGGTGGTTTTTTTTAATTTAAATTTTAAATAAAAAATATTTTTTTGTGTCTATCTCTCTTAAAATGACATAACTTTATGTCATTTAAAATGACAAACACTTTTTCCTATATATATATATATATAAGGGGAGGATATTGTGACAACCAAGTTGTGTTACTACCAAGTGACTACCAATCAATCTTACCGTTAGATCGATTATATTGATCCAACGGTTATATTTATTTCCATCTTTGTATGGTCATGATTTCCCAAATTTAATACTTTATATTTATTTTCACCTTTGTATAGTTATGATTTCTCATATTTAATGCTTTCACTTTAAATATGGAGAATCATGACCATACAAAGATGAAAATAAATATAACCGTTGGATCAACATAATCGATCTAACGGTGAGATTGATTGGTAGTCACTTATTAGTAACACAACTTGGTTGTCACAATATCATTCCCTATATATATATATATATATATATATATATGTGAGGTAAGATCCTTTTTAACATCAGTTTCAAATTTGAAATTTGACATCTCATCTGATAGCCGTTAGATCAAAAAAGATCAATGGTATCACATGCTTACAAATCAGAGTCGTTGATCTTTTTTGATCTAACGACTATCAGATGAGGTGTTAAAGGATTCTACCTCTATATATATATATATATATATATATATATATATATATATATATATATATATATATATATATATATATATATATATATATATATATGGATGAACAATATTTGAAATAACTAAGATAATATTAGGGGTGATCGACGTCCCGATTGGATCGGTTTTGAAACAAAAATCATTTGATCCAATCCCTTTTATTTGATAATTTAATCATCTATTCGGTTTGAATTTTTTTTTAAAATTCGATCTAATCCAATTTTATTTAGTTTGGTTTGAATACAAAAAGCTTAAAATTTCATCCATACAAATTATTAGCTATATCAAAATAAAGTCATATAAAGTTATAAACCACTAGAAAATTCAAATATTCAAACTAAAACAAGTCTTAAAACTGATTAAGAGTTAAAATAGTTTGATAGATAATAAAAAAACTAAAACGAGATAGTTTGTTATTACTAATATATCCGAAATTTCAAGTCTACGGAACAACAAAATTCTAGATTGGAAGTCAATATTTTTTTAGTCACTATTTTCACCGACTAAATCGAAAATCAATTGAATCCAATCAATAATATACCATTTTTTATATTTTTAAATACGATGGTTGGAGTGCGCGCTATATAAATTGAGCTCTACGACTCAGCACATATTCCATCAACAGAAGTTTAGAGAACTCTCTTTCATCTCCGAAACAAGCTACTCGAGAGGGTGACACCATGGCTGGCTCGAGTTCACGCAGGTCTCTGGTTCTTCTAGCCATCGTTTCCTTCGGTAATTATATCTCATTACCTTTTTCTTATAGCTTTTGCAAAGTGAGTAATCGTATGCCTCTCTGTGCATCTAAGAAACTCATCAACAGTGATTAGTTCCTGTTCTGCTTTACATCTTGCAGGAGTGTTATATTGATTTTATTATTTCCTTTTTATGTTTGTTAATCCGAGTAAACATTTATGATGAAGCTTTTCCTAAATATGTGTTATGATGAAGCTTTTCACAAGTAGGCAGTTGAAAGACATTAAATATTGTAAATAGTATCAATCAAAGCACGAATATCAATATGCATTCTCATTTTTTAGTAATGTCGTTAATGGAATTGGCATCAATCACCATTGTAACCTGATTTCCCTTATTTGGGAAGAACGCATTAAATAATTGAGTTCTGTTTTTCTACAATAATGCTTTTGTTAAAATAATTGATTTCTGTTTTTATAGAATAAAGGCTTTTTCACATGAAATTGCATTATTCAATTCAGCATCAGTAACTACGTTGAGTTTGTGTTGTAATTAACATTGAGAAAGTTCATCACAGGATGTCTGTTTGCAATTTCCATTGCAAAAGAGGAAGGCACCAAGTTAGGGACAGTTATTGGGATAGACCTTGGAACAACCTATTCCTGTGTTGGTGTTTACAAGAATGGTCATGTTGAAATCATAGCCAATGACCAAGGTAACCGCATCACCCCATCATGGGTTGCTTTCACCGACAGTGAAAGACTGATTGGGGAGGCTGCAAAGAATCAGGCAGCTGTCAACCCTGAAAGGACCATATTTGATGTCAAGAGACTTATTGGAAGAAAGTAAGGCATCCTCAAGTTGTTGATTAATGACAATTTGACTTGATGGGAATAAAGGTGACTGATGGGTATCTTTTTGCAGGTTTGAAGATAATGAAGTTCAAAGAGACATGAAGCTTGTTCCTTATAAGATTGTCAACAAGGACGGCAAACCTTACATACAAGTAAAAATAAAGGATGGTGAGACCAAGGTGTTCAGCCCTGAGGAAATCAGTGCCATGATTCTGACCAAGATGAAGGAAACTGCTGAAGCATTCCTCGGGAAGAAAATTAATGATGCTGTGGTCACTGTCCCTGGTAAATGGAGCAACTTACAACTTATTTCTCCCGCAATATTGGTTCTTTTGTTCCTGCTTTTGTCTTTATTCTAATTTCTCTCATTTTCTTTTCAAATGTACAGCTTACTTCAATGATGCTCAGAGGCAGGCCACCAAGGATGCTGGTGTCATTGCTGGTCTGAATGTTGCTAGAATTATTAATGAACCAACTGCTGCTGCCATTGCATATGGATTGGACAAGAAAGGTGGCGAGAAGAACATTCTTGTCTTTGATCTTGGGGGTGGGACATTTGATGTCAGTATCTTGACAATCGATAATGGTGTTTTTGAGGTTCTTGCTACAAATGGAGATACTCATCTTGGAGGTGAGTACTTTTTTTTCCCCCTTATAAAATAAGACAGAATAAGAGGAAATTATTAAATAAAAGAAAAATTATTCTTTCCATAAAAAATTTTCTTCTGCTGTTAATGGCTGCTATTCCTCCTTTCCTTAACCAGGTGAGGACTTTGATCATAGAATAATGGACTACTTCATTCAATTGATCAAGAAAAAGCATGGAAAGGATATTAGCAAGGACAACAGAGCACTTGGCAAGCTTAGAAGAGAAAGTGAGCGTGCCAAGAGAGCTCTCAGCAGCCAGCACCAGGTTCGCGTGGAAATTGAATCACTCTTTGATGGTGTTGATTTTTCTGAGCCACTTACCAGAGCTCGGTTTGAGGAGTTGAACAATGACTTGTTCCGTAAGACAATGGGGCCTGTGAAGAAGGCAATGGAGGATGCTGGATTACAGAAGAATCAGATTGATGAGATTGTTCTTGTTGGCGGAAGCACAAGGATTCCAAAGGTACAACAGCTTTTGAAGGACTACTTTGATGGAAAGGAGCCAAACAAGGGTGTCAACCCTGATGAGGCAGTTGCCTATGGTGCTGCAGTTCAAGGAAGTGTTTTGAGTGGAGAGGGTGGTGAAGAAACCAAAGGTACATAGTCTAGTTTCTTAATTATTTGGCTAGAGCTCATAAATTTTATTGATGCAAGTAGATTGCCAAGCATTACACTTTCTCATTGTTATGTGGCACTCTGGATCCAGATATCCTTCTCCTGGATGTGGCTCCCCTCACCCTTGGAATTGAAACTGTTGGTGAGGTGATGACAAAGTTGATTCCCAGAAATACTGTTATACCTACCAAGAAATCTCAGTTTTTTACCACCTACCAGGACAAGCAGACTACCGTCTCCATTCAGGTACTGTTCCACTCTAATTCATGATGCTGAGACATTTTTCTTCTAAATTCGTAATGTTTGGCCTCAATTTTGACACCTTTTTATTAATAGGTATTTGAAGGTGAGAGGAGTCTCACAAAGGATTGTCGGTTGCTTGGGAAGTTTGATCTGACAGGAATTCCACCAGCTCCTAGGTTTGTTTCCTGCTTTTCATGCGGTCCTTTCTAAATTTTGCTCAATTGATGTTTGTAATTTATTGATAATTTGGTGTGGTAATTGAACAGAGGTACCCCTCAAATTCAAGTGACCTTTGAAGTGGATGCAAATGGCATCCTAAATGTGAAGGCGGAAGACAAGGGAACTGGTAAAGCAGAAAAGATCACCATTACAAATGAAAAGGGACGGCTGAGCCAGGAGGAAATTGAGCGGATGGTTCGTGAAGCGGAAGAGTTTGCCGAGGAAGACAAAAAAGTGAAGGAGAGGATTGATGCTCGTAACGCTCTCGAAACGTACGTCTACAGTATGAAAAACCAGATAAGTGACAAAGACAAGCTGGCTGACAAGTTGGAGTCTGATGAAAAGGAGAAAGTTGAAACTGCTGTGAAAGAAGCTCTGGAATGGCTGGATGACAACCAGGATGTGGAGAAAGAAGAATATGAAGAGAAGCTCAAAGAAGTGGAAGCTGTTTGTAACCCAATTATCACAGCTGTCTATCAGAGATCAGGTGGCGCCCCAGATGATGCATCTGGGGAGGACGAGGATGACTCTCGCGACGAGCTCTAGAAAGTAGGAGCAAGAATTGATGAGAATTAGTAGGTTAAGCAGAGTCTTAAAATTTAATTATGGGTGGGAGTTGAGAAGTATTTCCCCGCTCCTGTATTTTCGGTGGCCAAGATACTTTATAGAATACACTTGTATTTTTTCTTTTTTTGGTTAGTTTTACGACAACACTTCTTCAGCTTTTTAGTAGATGTTAGATGTCTAGAACGTTATTTTTATAGATTTGGCTGAAACCTAGAGGTAGATTTATATGATAGTTCAGGTGGTACTGTCGCATAATTGAGTAGTAGTATTCTTCTATTTTGCCCCAAAAGTCATCGAACATCGTGTTGTTGTTGTTGTTTTTTTTTTTTTTTTTTTTTTTTTTGAATATATTGAAGAATTGAATACACAACTTATTATATAACTACCTATATTCCACACTATCAGGCTCTAACATCCCATTTTAACAAGATATAATATAACAAGAAGAGGGTTATATTTAATACAAATTACACTATGTACTTTTGGAATTATATTAGGTTATATTATGTAGAATATATAGTGTAATTTGCAAATATTTGTAAAAAAAAATTGTAAACGGATTAGTCCCCATATAACAATGGGTTTTGTTCGGTCCTAGAGAACTGTATTGCTATATCGTATGGTATGCGCTCAGAGATACCCTAGAGATAGTATCCAGATTGGCTTAAAGCCAACACTCCAATCACTGCGCACAAGCAATAGGCTTATAGCCAAGACGTGGGTGTGTGCACAGTGTTGACAGCAATCGTAAATAGGTCAGAAATGTGTACATGGGGTTTTTAGCCTTATATTTGTAAGGGTTACTACCTCTTGGGCTTGTGTAGATCTCCCAGTTAGGGGTGTAAATGGGCTGGGCTGAGCCGGGCTTTGGCCTTCCTGGCCCAAGCCTACGTAAAAAAAAATTCAGCCTATCTGGCCTACTGGCCTATTAAAGGCTTTATTTGTAGGCCAAGTCTGCCCCATTTATAAAAATAAGAAAGCCTGCCATGGCCTACAGGCCTTGTAGGCTTACCACTGTAGATAATAAGCAAAAAAAATAATTGTATAGAGCAAAGAAAATTCCATTCATGCAATGCACTGGTACTTCTCATAAGAAAAAATGACAAACAAGAAAGAGTCAACATAATACCCCAGCTCTAGAATGTATATCATAGAGGAATAGAGTCAAAGAAATGAGAAAAATAAGAAAAATACAATTACTGGAAGCTGAAATAAAGTCTACAAGAGAATGTCATTTATCTAAAAATCTTTAAACCACCATCAAGACAAGGGAAAGAAGAATATTATTGAAAGATCTTCATTAGTAACATCATAATCCAGGTACCCATTGCTCCATGGTATTAAGCTGCAACAGCATGTAAAATTAGGGTTGGTATTGGTACTTTGCCATGCCACATAATATAAATATTATTTTATTATTTTATTTTTAATAAATTAAATAGGCCAGCCTACAAGGCTTTGGGTCGGGCTTGGCAAAATTGGCCTACGGCCTATTTGTTAAAAATGCTTGCTTATAAGCTTACGCCTACTCTACTTTCATAAAAAGCCGGGTCAAGCCAGGCTTAATGTAGGCCGGGTTGTAGGCTGGTCCGGGCCAGCCCAGCCCATTTACACCCCAACTCCCAGTTATAGTATGATTCAACTTTCTTTCTGTTGGGATAGGAACTCTATCCTTAGCAGTCTTACTGTTTTATATTGTTAGGATAATTAGGTAATTATCCTTTAAGGGATCCTTGGGTAGGTGGTTAGGATATGAAAATATTCCATAACAATTTGAGAAAGGTTATAGTTATTACCTTTTTTCTTACTACTTGTTACTACCAAATCTTAACTGTTGATTTTCACTAATCTAAGGGTTATAATTTATTAAGTTACATTTATTAATTAATTATTAATTCTAATAAATTACAACCGTTAGATTGACGGAAATCAACGGTTAAGATTTGGTAGTAACAAGTAGTAAGAAAAAACTAATAACTATAACCTCTCTCTTAAAATTTATGTATTTGTTGCATTTTGTTTCTATCACACTCAGATAAATGTGAATGTCTCATCATAAAAAGAACAAAGAAAGAATGAGCCAGATAGTGACAAATTTTTTTTCAAATTTTTTCAATAATAAAAGCATAAATATTCTCACCTATAACAATAATAAACTAATATTCATTAATGATTTCAGTATTTATTTTTGCAATTTTTTAATTGAAATCAAATTTTAATATTTTTTTTAAGATCATTTCTACATCAGTTCGTTGGATTCATGTTCTAAAGGTAAATACTAGTATACAATATGATAAAGTCAGCATGTCTATTTATTATTTATAGTTAATTATCTTTATATTTTAAAAGAAAATTATAGATATATAGGTTTTCTTATTGGGAAAAATATTTCTGCAGTTAATGCAGATAAGTTATCTGCATTTATTCTCAAAACGACGTCGTTTTGGTATTGAAATCTTAAAAAATTATAAATATAAAGACTATTATAACCCTGAAATAAATTAAAATTATAAAAACACTATGATTTCCGTCCAAAAATAACGTCGTATTGGGCTTACTACAAATAATGTATCTGCAGAAAAAACGAACCCTTTTTTATTACTATATTTATGCGAATTCTTATTTAAAGAATTTCCATTTTCCATTAACATTATTATAGTAACTAAAATTTTTGTTCGCCTAAAAAGTTTAATATTTTTTTTCAAGTACGTGACATCAACATGTGGTAATAATGATAATGATGGAGAGTGATTGTGAGTATAGTTGTTAAAATCTCGATTTATCACTACGATTTTACGTTCTTACGATTTTGTTTCATCAAAACGATTTTATCAATATTCCAAACACTTTTAAGTTTTTACAATTTTTTTACATTACGATTTTACGTTTTACGATTTTTTAGTTTCCTTCTGATTTTACTTAAAATCTCGATTTTGTGAGAGACAAGTGTTTCTTATTTGGTACTCGGAACAAAAAATAGAATTTTTTTGATCTTTTTCTGTTCCATAGCATAAAAATTAAACTGGTTCATCCTGGGAGCAAAAAAATAAACCGATTTTATCAAAAGAGTTTTCTATCCATTTATGTTACCGGAAACAGAAATTAAGAAAAAACTGATTTCGGGTAGGTTGTCATGCACACTCTTAAGGAGCATTTGGTAATGGGAAAAAAATATTGTTCCAATAAATCATAATATCATAATTCCCATGAATATATTGGGAATATTAATTTTTCATAAATGTTTCCAAGAAAATTATTTGATAGTCAAAAATATTACTAGAAATATTGACTCAAGTTTCTTTATTCTATGATTGTTTGATTATCAAATATTGTTAGAAATATGAGATGATTTACAAAATTAACCTCTATGAATTTGAGGCAATCCACCTTTTTAGATCAACCTTTAGGGAAAATAATAATATCTCAATATTAATCGGTTTGCTATGAGTAAATACGCTTTTGAATGAGAATAATTCAACTAAATGGGAATGAATCCTCTCAGGTTAAAATTTCACATCACTTGGTCATGTAAATTTTTATGTATATATCTTTATTCATTAATGATAATTGGCCCCCACATATTTAATGAATATAAAGAGATCTTTATTCATTAATGATAATCGGCCCCTACCTATTTAATGAATATAAAGAGAGTGATAGACACAAAAATTTTACATGACCAGTTCATGTGAAATTTTAACATGAGATATCCACTTCCGAACTAAATTGCCTTCTTTGCATCAGGAGCAGCCTCTACACAAGAAAAAAAAATAGTCCTCAAACCATGAACACACCCAAACAACAAAAACCCCATCTTGGTTAAAACTTCTTAACCCTACCAAACTCTATACCCAAAAGACATGACTCAATTGAACATGGTTTCAGTTTCTAATTAGAAGTTGATGATTTATACAAAACCAGCAAAAACGTATTAGAAAGACACAAACTTTCTTTGAAAGAAAATCTGCATATCATAGAAGTTGTTGAGTTTTATATTGGCCTGGGCACGGTTGGCATAGAGGTCAGCGTTGTTAGGGCTGAGGGCAATAGCCTTATCGTGAAGAGGTCAAAGGCAAGCTTGTAGTGTTCATCCATGAAAGGCGCTTTGGAATTAGCTTCAACATATGAAGCCATGGAAGAGTAACGTATAAAAACAATACAAAAAAAATAAGAAGAAAGAGAAGCTAAGGGTGTTTTTTTCGAAAAAAATTTGATTTTTTTTTTCACCGGATGAGAATCCAAGAATAAAATCAATTCTTGGGAATCTCATTCTCCCAGAAATTTTTTAGAATCTTTATACCAAACATGAAAAAATAGGATTTCCAACGAGAATTTTTTAGGAATTTAAAATTTATCCCTTTATCAAAAGCCTAGTTGGTGCAATGCATAAAACTTTTTTTATTTGATCTTTTCCTTAATACTCCATTACTCAACATCTCCCTTTCAACTGGCCTTTTCTGATTCTTCCTTCATCTCCCTTGACATAGCATATACGTTTTCACTTAGATATCTTTCGCTTTCAATCTTGCACTTGCATCGTCTATCTTTGATGTTGTTCTTTGTGAGGGAGACATAAATAAGTGGAGTGAATTTAAATACTTAAAATATAGACTTTTGATAGAATAGATGGTTCTCAAAATTTACTCATTTATTTAAGCGTATTATTTTTCTCATATTAGATGAAAAGAAAATTCTTTCATGCACACATGTAACTGCAATATGAGAGTCCCACTAAATAAATGAGAGAGAAAAACATAAAGTGGGACTCACATTACACTTAGTATGTGTGTGCATAAGAGAATTTTTCTCTCATGTAACATTAGAAAAATAATACCATTTATTTAATGAGTAATATTATATGGGTAATAGTTTTCTCATGCAGTAGGAGATAAATATTATCTCCTACAAACTCATTTATGTAGGTGAGATCCACTTTCAGGGAAAGAGGAAAAAAATAAAGTGAGATCCATCTTGAATTTGTGTGTGTATGAGATAGATTCTATCTTATGTAAATAAGAATAATAAATCCCATATTATATTTATAAACTTTTTCGCTTATAAGCTCTTACAACCAAATCTTAATGTTGGTTTTCGCTAATCTCGCAGTTATAATTTAATAAAAAATAATAATTAATTAATAAATGTAACCAAATAAATTATAACTGTTTGATTGATGAAAATTAACGATTAGATTTGATTGTAAAAGTTTGTAAGCAAAAAAGTTTATAAATTATATAACCTCCTCTTATTTAATAAGTTAACTTTAAAATTTGTGTTTCAATTATTTAAAGCTGGAGAAGGATTAATTTATACTGTATTAGAATAATAAATTTTATATCAACTTTTAATTATTAATTTATTTACGATTAACGGTTCTAATTTATTAATGGGAAAAGTATTTTTTTCATCTCAGGAAATAATTTTATCTCTTACAATTCCAAAAAGACATCATTTTGGAGTTTAAAATTAAAAACAAAGGATATTTTAAAAACTTTATTTTCCTCTTGTATCATGAATTTTAATAATGAATTATTTTTAAATTTAAATTTCAAAATGACGTCATTTTAAAGTTGTAGAAGATATAATTATCTTTATGACAGGAGAAACATTAATATTTTTATTAATTACATAAATTAATAGATTTAAATAAAATTAACTACAAAAATTGAAATTATAACTTACATTTTATCCCTTTAAAAGTAATACTTAGTGTAAACAAGTCGGTTAAATCAAAGTGAATTCTAATTTTGGTAAGGTTTCTGTAAGGTATTTTTTTTTATCTAAAAGAGATAAAAGGTTACCATTTTTAAAAAGTTCATTTAACACTTATTTAAATAAATTTACTTTGTAATTAAAAAAGTTAATAAAAATGTCAACAAGTGTTATGACAACCGGTTCGAACTGGAACTCGATGAATCAGTCATCGGACCGGTTCGAGTGAAGTCTCGGACTGCCACGTATCGAATTCGGTCAAAAAGGAGCTATTTGGCACGTGTAGTTTGTTTGATTTTTTTCTCCCGCGTCTTAGTCCTGATCAACCCATTCTAGAACGTAATAATTTCTTTAAAACGTTACACGCTAGTTAAATCAAGGTTAGCCACCTTAATAGATACATCCAGGGGCGCTAGAAATTTTGTTTTTGGAGTTTAGTTCAACCTTAATGGTAGGTGCAAATTCAGGGTGACGATATTTTGTAACGTAGAAGTTAATTTTTATCTATAAGCCGAGGTGAAGAGCTTGCTGTTGATTTTTTTTTTATCGTATTTTTTATTTTATTTTTGAAAAAAATATCGTATTTGAATACTAGTATTTCGGTTCATAAGTAATGTGTTGCCAAGGTGAAGAGCAAGAACGAAAGGGTTGGACCCATCGGTGACTTCCACCTAGGGTCGTATTAGGAAAGCTTACGGATGCTAATAATTAATACGGAAATGATATTCTAATAATCAAGTTGTGTTACTATCAAGTTACTATCAATCAATCTCATCATTAGATCGATTATGTTGATCCAAAAGTTATATTTATTTTCATCTTTGTATGGTCATAATTTTTTAAATTTAATACTTTATATTTATTTCCATCTTTGTATGGTTATGATTTCCCATATTTAAAGTGAAAGCATTAAATATGGAAAATCATAACCATACAAAGATGGAAATAAATATAACCATTGCATCAACATAATCGATCTAACGGTGAGATTGATTGGTAGTAACATAACACAACTTTTTTTGTAAATTAACATAACACAACTTGGTTGTTAGAATATATTTCCCCTAATTAATATTATGAAAGTCCATAAATGACAATAATTAATACTATGAAATTAATTAAAATGATATTTAGAAGTTGAAATTTTGAAAGATCTTCGGCTTAACGAACGACAAACACTGTTTCAAGCAATGATGAACATGCATCTTCAAAAATAAAATTTAAAAAAAGAAAAGAAGGAAAAACAAAAGGGGATAAGGGGAGATTAATAATACAATATCCACGATGATCAATGATTTGGCTTGGATTCTTGGCCACTATCAGCAACCTCCACCTGTGTCAGATCCACCTCTCCGTTGGCTTTCCTTGCAGCAATCTGCCTCTTCGTCGACTTGTAATAGGTGGCGTACAGAATCAGTTGAGCCACCGAAAAAAATGTCCCAAGCCCATTTGGTATCTGATAATTAAGCACAATAGCATAATACCAATAGATCATTCATTCACTTTACAACTATATATTTTGTCGTTTTTAGCATATATGATTAAACGAGAGAAGAGAAGAGAAAATCATGAAAAGAACGATTGTAAAATTTTTATTTACAGTGATGAATGGGTCGAAACGGATGAGAGCGTAAGTTGTCCAAGCCACGCCATTTCCAAAGGAGGCTAGAGAGATGAAAAATGGCATATACTCAACGCTTTTGGTCGTGATCACCAGTTTCTGCACCGCAATAATGAATTAAAATTAAAGTAATTACCTTAAATATATAGTAATTGGTACCGAATTAAAGATGAGAAATTGTAATATTTCATAAATGAATAATAATACTATAGTCTCATTGTTGGGAACTCGGTTCCCTCATATCGGCTCAGGAGCCTTTGTGCGGAAGTCAATCAATCAACAAGATCCTGATCTCGGATCTCGGCAATACCTCGGCCTGAACTTCACCAGGTCGGGTAGTGTAGCGGAAATATCAAAACGAAAAATCACAAAGCAGGAGAGAGAAGAAGAAGAACACAACCAGATTTAACGTGGGAAAACCTTCTTCAATGAAAAAGTAAAAACCCACGGGACCTAGTCCAGATCAAAAATCCACTATGAAAATAATGGTTACAAAATAATCAGAATACACCAATGTGGTGGTTAACTCAACCTCTCCAACAATTGTGATAATCAAACTACCCTAGAGATGTTTAACTCAAACTCTCTCTAGAGATCTCTCAAATGCAAAGCATAAAGCTTTGCTCAAACAATTTTCTCTAAAATATCTATCAAATAAAATTCTCTCATATGACCTAGCCTCCACCCACAACTAATGAGTATATATAGAGGAGGTGGAAATTAGGGTTAGGGTTTTTAAGAAACCCCTCAAATGGGCTTGGGCCTAGCATTGAAGGAGGAAGCACAACAAATCTCCCCCTCCGACTTCAATGCGTCGGCTTCAGCATCAACCCGGCTCCTTCATAGCAGTCTTCAAATTTTCTTGCTGGAACCGGCTTTGTTATCATGTCGAACCAATTTTGGTCAGTGTGCACCTTGAAGAGTTCGAGCTCTCCACCTTCCACCACATCCCGGATCCAGTGATATCTCATATCAATATGCTTAGTGCGGGAGTGATAGGTTGAATTCTTCGCAAGATGGATTGCGCTTTGATTGTCACAACCCAGCTCGTAATTGTCTTGATCATGGCCGAGTTCCATGAGAAACTTCTTCATCCACAACATCTCTTTGCTTGCCTCAGTAGTGGCAATGTACTCAGCCTCAGCTGTCGATAGTGCAACACATTTCTGAAGTCTTGATTGCCAAGAGACAGCTCCTCCGGCAAATCTCATCAAATATCCTGTAGTCGACTTCCTCGAGTCGGCGTCTCCCCCTAAATAAGAATCCGAGTAGCCTTGCAACTCGGCTTTGCCTTCTCCAAACCGGAGGCATAAGTTGGTCGTACCTCGGAGGTACTTGAAGATCCACTTCACTGCTTCCCAGTGCTCTTTGTCGGGGTTTGACAAATACCGGCTTACCATTCCAACAGCATACGCCAAGTCGGGTCTAGTGCAAACCATTGCATACATCAAGCTTCCGACGGCGGATTGGTACGGGACCTTCATCATCTCATCTTTGTCTTCATCAGATCTCGGACATTGCTTCTGGTTCAGCTTTATGTGTCCGGCAAGGGGGTGCTCACTCGTTTGGCTTTGTCCATGCTGAATCTCTTCAGAATCTTCTCAATATATTTCTCTTGACTCAGCCACAGTAGCTTCTTCTGTCTATCTCAGATGATCTTGATTCCGAGAATCTGCTTTGTAGGGCTGAGGTCCTTCATTGCGAAGGACGAGCTCAACGCCTTTTTCAGGGCGGCTATCCTCGATTTGTCTTTCCCTACAATAAGCATGTCATCAACATATAACAACAAAATCAGAAAATCTCTGGCCTCATACCTCTTCACAAATACGCAGTGGTCGGCTTCAGTCTTCTCAAACTTATGATCAGTCATGAATGATTCAAACTTCTTGTACCACTGCCGAGGTGCTTGCTTCAAGCCATAGAGGCTCTTCTTCGATCGACATACCAAGTCTTCTTGGTCTGGAGCTCGGAACCCTTCAGGTTACTCCATATATATTTCTTCTTCTAAATCACTGTGAAGAAATGCCGTCTTCACATCCATTTGTTCTACCTCGAGGTCCATCGAAGCCGCCATGGCTAACACGGTTCGGACCGAGGTCATTTTCACCACAGGAGAAAAAATCTCCTCAAAATCTACTCCTTTCTTCTAATTGCAGCCTTTCACTACAATCCGAGCTTTGTATCTCGGCTTTTGACCGTTCTCTTCATTCTTAATCTTGTAGACCCATTTATTTTTCAGTGCTCGTCTTCCTTTAGGCAACTCGGTCAGCTCATAAGTCTGATTCTCGTGCAGAGACTTCTTCTCGTCTTGCATTGCCTTTTTCCATTCTTCTTTCTCTGAGCTTGTCACATCCTCATCATAACTCTGAGGCTCACTGTCATCAGCAACAACGGTGTATTCATCAGATGGGTATCTCGTAGAGGGTCTTCTTTCTCGAGTTGGATATCTCAGATGTTCTTCAGCTTGAGGACCCGGTTCATCATTCTCATCCCGGATCTCATCATCAACTCGGACATCAGTGTCTTGGTTATCTTCAGCTTGTTACTGGTCATCAATTTCTTCATTTTTATGATTTTCTCCCCCTGCTTCAGCTCAGACAGGAGGGATGGGTTCTTCTCGTCTGACAGTAACTCGGACTTTGGGCTTCGAGATGTCATGAATGTTCTCATCTTCATGAAAGATCACATCTCGGCTTCTCACTATCTTCTTATTGATTGGATCCCAAAGTCGGAACCCGAACTCACATCTCGGCGAACCAAGATAAATGCATTCTTTGGTCTTTGCATCAAGTTTAGCCCTTTCATCTTTAGGGATATGCACGAAAGCTCGGCATCCAAACACCTTCAATTGATTATAGGCCGCTTTCCGACCTGTCCAGACTTCTTCTGGAATTTCTCCTTCAAGTGGCCGCGATGGTGAGAGGTTGATCAAGTCAACAGCTGTTTTGACGGCTTCTCCCCAAAATGATTTCGGCAATCCGGCATTGGACAACATACTTCGGACCTTCTCTTCAATAGTTCTATTCATCCTCTCCGCAAGTCCATTCAACTGTGGAGTCTTGGGGGGCGTCTTCTCAAGTCGGATCCCGGCCGCTTTGCAATATGCATCAAAAGGGCTGCAATACTCACAACCATTATCAGATCGGACCACCTTTAATTTCTTACCAGTCTTCCTTTCAACCATCGCATGGAATTCTGTAAAGGATTGGAGTACCTGGTCTTTAGTCTTCAACAAATATACCCACACTTTGCGGGAATGGTCATCAATGAATGAAACAAAGTACTGAGCTCCTCCAAGGGATCTTTCCGACATGGAGCAGACATCAGTATGGACGAGGTCAAGAATATACCTGCGTCGTCTTGGTTGATCCGATCTCACAAAAGAAACCCGGTGCTTCTTTCCAGCTAGGCAATGCGTGCAACTTTCCAACGCTTGGCCTTTCAACCCAGTCAATAATCCTTTCTTGTTCAGGATCTGGAGCCTTTTCTCGCTCATGTGGCCGAGGAGCTTGTGCCATAGCTCCAAGCTAGGTTCATCTCGGACAGAATTGGCTTCTCCGCCATTGACCTTTCCTTGCATCACGTACAAGGAGCCTTCCTTCTTACCTCGGGCCACAACCAAGTTTCCCTTGGCCAGCTTCCATCTAACACTACCGAAGTAGTTCACTAACCCAGCATCATCAAGTTTTCCTACTGAGATTAGGTTCAAATGCATGTCAGGAACATGCCTTACATCTTTCAACACGAGTCGGCATCCGACATCCGTGGTCAGAGTTACATCACCGACACTAACAATCTTGCTGGTCACTTGATTTCCCATCTTCACGACTTCAAAATCACCACCTTGGTAAGAGAAGAAAAAGCCTTTGTGTGGAGTAACGTGGAAGGAGGCACCAGAGTCAACAATCCAGGTGCAGTCATCATATGCAACATTCAAGTAATTATCCTCACCAAGGAGGAATATCTCGACATTCGAGTTGGCAGCCACCGCAATGGTGCTCTTGTCTTCCCTCTTCTTGGGAATAATCTAATCCGACTTCACAGAGTCGTTCTTCTCATCATTCTGTAGGGTCCAACAGTTTGGCTTCTTATGGCCTGTCTTTCCACAGTAAAAGCACTTCAACTCATATTTCGGCTTTGACCGACCTCTGGACGTTTCTCGTCTGTCACGACCTCTACCCCTGCTTTTGCTTCTTCCCCGGGAGTCGGGTTTCCCTTTGTTCTCAGCAACGTCGGCCTCAGACGTGCTAGAAGTACCTCGTTCTCTTCTCCTGACTTCTTCACTCAGGAGGCTGTCTGTCACGACATTCATCTTCAACTTTCCTTCTGGAGCTGAATTACTCAAAGTCACCACCAGAGTATCCCAGCTTTCTGGCAGCGAGCTCAACAACAGCAAAGCCTGCATCTCATCATCAATTTTCATCTCAGCTTTTGACAGTTGATTCACAATACCTTTATAGGTATTGAGGTGTTCAATCATGCTCATGTCGTCCTTGTATTCAAGCTTCACAAGTCGACGAACCAGGTATGCTTTATTCCTAGGAGTCTTCTTCTGAATCATGGACTCCAGCTTCGTCCACAACTCATACGCGTTCGTGAACTCGGACACGTGCTCAAAGAGGCTTTTATCAATATATTTCCTGATCGTGGCTACCGCCTTTCGACTCAGGATCTTCCACTCCTTATCAGTTTTGCCTGCCGGTCTCTTATCAATGATAATGGGCTCATGTAAATATTTGCAGTAGAGATGATCTTCCATCATCGGTCTCCAATAGGTGAAATTATCTGCGATCAACTTGAACATGTCTCCATCATTGGTTAGGCCATTGGTCTCCATCTCGTCTCCCTCAGAACCCGTTGAACTCGGGCTCTGATACCACTGTTGGGAACTCGGTTCCCTCAGATCGGCTCAGGGGCCTTTGTGCGGAAGTCAATCAATAAGATTCTGATCTCGGATCTCGGCAATACCTCGGCCTGAACTTCACTAGGTCGGGTAGCGCAGCGGAAATATTAAAACGAAAAATCACAAAGCAGGAGAGAGAGAAGAAGAAGAACACAACCAGATTTAACGTGGGAAAACCTTCTTCAGTGAAGAAGTAAAAACCCACGGGACCTAGTCCAGATCAAACATCCACTATGAAAATAGTGGTTACAAAATAATCAGAATACACCAATGTGGTGGTTAACTCAACCTCTCCAACAATGGTGATAATCAAACTACCCTAGAGATGTTTCACTCAAACTCTCTCTAGAGATCTCTCAAATGCAAAGCATAAAGCTTTGCTCAAACAATTTTCTCTCAAATATCTATCTAATAAAATTCTCTCATATGACCTAGCCTCCACCCACAACTAATGAGTATATATAGAGGAGGTGGAAATTAGGATTAGGATTTTTAGGAAACCCCTCAAATGGGCTTGGACTTAGTATTGAAGGAGGAAGCCCAACAGTCATAATGTTGAAGAGTGATGATGAGTGATGACTGACCATTAAGGGCGAAGCATACATCATAATGTTGAAGAGAATGCATGTGGTTCCAACAATGGAAGAGCGTTCCTTGACGGTGTGGGCCATAGTTAATGTAATAACGGTGAGAGCTACGATGAAAATGAGTTCCACGACGAGCCAGAGGAGGACCTTGAGCCTCTTGCTGCGGTGAGAGTAGATCAAGAAAAGGGTCACATAGATGATCTCAATGACACACCCTGAGCCATTGATGGTTACCACCAGCAGGCTGTGTGGGTGCACCATGGGTAGACCATAAAGGGTCCAAACCATGCAGTTCACGAGCGTCGCTAGGTATGGTGCTGCTGAGTACTGCTCCACTGATCCTTTCTTGCTTATTCCAATAAAAGTTGGCCTGCATGCATGTCTCAAGTCAAATAAGGCACATAGGACAAACAATTGCCGTTTTTGTATAAATGCTTTAAGTAGGTCAAAACTCTTTGGTTGATTTCCATTTTACTTGATTGAGGTTAGGTATAAACCCAAAAGCAAAAAAATATAGTCCATCGAATTTGTAAATCTAATGACATCTAGTAACAAGGGATTTGAATAATTTATATTAGGCTATGGGTTGAATTTTTATCAATATATTAAAAAAAATACACCCATCCCACCTGTTTTAAGTATAATTCGAGGTATTCCAAGCCGACTAAATTCGAGCCGTAAAAATTATTAAACTGAATTTTGTCTTTACTAATAAAGTATTTTTTATATATATGATCAGGAATCAAACTTCTATCAACCTGTTTGAGAGACTCAACTATCTATGCATTGGAGCTGGGCTTTATTGGTTATAACATTTTTTTTTTATCTTTGATCATTTCTAAAAATAACTTCCAACATACGGTATATTACCCTATATTACCAAAAAATATGGCACGTTTGTCTTTGTGCTCTCATCTTGATATCAGTTCACTGAATCTCTCCCTCTGCTTTGATTTTTCTTAAGACTTCAGATTTGAACCATGACTGCAGCAGATATTGCTCGAACAGTAGTCGGCATTCTAAGTGGGTCAAATTACTTTCTAAACTTTGTGTCTATGTTTATATATTATTTTCCTTATTTTCACTCTTATTGATATCTATCTCCACAAGCTTACTTTCTAAACTTTGTGTCTATGTTTTATATATTATTTTCCTTATTTTCACTCTTGTTGATGATATCTGTCTCCACAATTTTCTGTGAAACTATGACTCCTTAAGTAATCAATCACGCCAAACTTTAGCCCTTAAGTAATTAAACATGCCCCTTTTATTTTTAACGGTCTCAATTAATTGGGAAGTAATAAACACACTAACCATTAGTAAATTATTATTGTCATTATAAAATGGAATGAGCATTAACTATAGATAATAGAAAGAGGCAGCCACGTGACTACAATGAAAAGTTTGCGAGTCGCTACGTCTGTCTTGCTAATATGTGCTAAACTTTTCACGTGTGTCAAACTATTCCATTTTAGTAAAATGTTATTTTATATTTTTTTAGAATTCTTATTAAGTTCTTTTCCTTAGTATTATATTATATTTAATATTTTACAAGAAAAATAAAAAACCTTAAAAAAAAATATTCTAATAAAATTAATTTAGAATATAATATTATTTTTTTTAGAAAAAAATGGCTTACTTTCAAAAAATAAAATGTATTTGTCATTTTTTAATGACACAAGTTTATGTCATTTTAAGTAAATTTATTGTATTTTGGTGGTTTTTTAATTTCTTTCTCATTCATAATACTCTTATTTTCTCTCTCCTCCTAATTTTGTTAAGAAAAGAATATAAAAAATCACTAAATATGAACAAAAGCACAATAATTTCACTTAAAATGATATAAATTTGTATTCTTTAAAATGATAAATATTTTAAAAAAAAAAAATAAATAAATCAAACTAAGTGAACACGTTGGACACGAAAGTAAAGAGTTAATTCAATTACTCAACTAGATACTATTTTTTGGGAAAATTTAAAAAAAATCCCTTGTGATTTATAATTTTATCACTTTTTTTTTACTTGTCTTTCCTATAAAAATTTTTTATTACAGCCCACGGGAAAAAAATAAACAAATTAACCCTTTAACAGTATTAAAGGTGAACTTAAATGAAAAAATACAAAAAAAAGAGTAAGTGATATATAAAAATACAAAAAATAAATGAAAGAAAAACCAACCACATGAATGTTTTTTAGCTTTTCCTAACTTTATTTGTACATTTTGATATATTTCTGAACATAAATACTTTTCTTCCAAATAATAAAAGAATCTTAGGTAAACAGCTGGGTCCGTAAACTGTCTATATATAAGCGTTTGGTGGGTTTAGTACAATATTATTAAACTGGACCCGATTATTGACCCGGTTAAGTTACTGGGTCACTGGTTTAACGAGTGGGTCACTGGTTTAACGAGTGGATCACTGGTTCAACCGCATGATCCGGTAAGTATATGTAAATCTATAATTTATATTAAAAAAATTATGAATATACTTAAATACTTGTAAACAAATATACCAATTTCAAATATTTTAATATGAAAATAATAAATTACACATCATTGTCCAACAAAAGATCAATCAAACATATAACATTTGTGATACTAGTGTTTCAGGTTCAGTAAACGACGTCTTTAACTATAAATCAAATCAAAATTCTCTGCATATTGCATAATCAAGATAATATTAGTATTGTAGGTACATAATCTATGTAAGTTAATAAGCTACAAATCACTCAAATATTTCAAAAGAAAACAAATCATTTGTGTTTGAGAGTAAAAAAAAAAGAAGAGATTAATTTATGAAAATAAATTAGTTTTTTTTTTATATAGATCGGGCCGGGTCACAGGTTTTTATGAAAACCGACCGGGTCGCATCAGATCACACCAGTTCTGTAACATGGCCGGTCCAATATAAAAACCGAACCGGTTACATGACCGGTTCACCAATTTTCGAGTCGACCCGACCGGATCGGTCCGGTTTTTATAACATTGGTTTAGCCTACTGTACCTTTTGTCTAACCTTTATATATTTAGTTTCTATCTGTCATCTTCCCATTGTGCTCATTCTTAATTGCTCTTCGCTATCTCTTCGTAAATTTCTAAGTAGTACAGACAAGACCATTCTTCGAAACATCTTGCATAAACTTGTCCATGGTGTTTGGGACAGTGGTCCATGGTTCACCCTTAGGAGGCGTTTGGTACAGGAGAAATTTTTATTTGTCTGGGAATCTCAATTTTTAAAAATATGATTTTTATATTCAATTTACGATAATATCTGAAAATTTAAAATTTAAAAAATTCAGTTTCCCTATAATCCAAAAAAAATCTGTGTACCAAACGGCCCCCTAAGTCTTAATAATTTATGGGCTAAACCATTGAAATTTATATTTGAGGAAACTTTTTTGTGTAACGATGGATTATTGTATGGATCAAGCAATGGTGACACTAAAGTTGACATGACATGAAAGTGACAAAATAATAATAGTTAGTAGTAACAATAATTCAGTGAGTGCGGACAAAGATTCCCGACCCAGTAATAGAATTCAGACGAGCTAAATGGCAGGGTAGACAGTGACAGTGATAAGAAGAGTTTGATGCAGAAGATGAGGAGGTGAGTGGTGGTGAATCTTGCATGCACTGGACTCACAAGTACATCACAACTCACGATACCATATTTGAGAAAAGAGTTTTGAAGGAAAGCAATTCAGAAATCAAGGAACCGTGCGTGTCTTTCTACTCCTTTTTCTCCTCCTCATTTCTCTTTCAATTTCTCAGGGTTTTTATGCGTTTTGGTCTCTTTTATTGGCAGGACTTTCTCAAAATAATTTCAGTACACATAAGCCATATAAAGGAAGGAGCATATGCCCTTTTTTAATTTAAGAAGCTATTTCTTTTTTTAAGTAATAGGGTTTTATAAGTGTATTTGAATGCAACTTTTGAAAATAGCAGAAGTAAGAAAGAAAAAAAGTTAACATAATATTTCTTTTTAAGGCACGATTCCTGACTCTTAACAAAAGTTAATATTATACTTTCTATTTTGAAGTCCTTTTTAAATACTGACCCAGATGTAAAATAATTCTGATTTTTTTAAAACTTCCACAAAAAAATAGTGCATACTTTTTTCTTTCTTTCATAAATCAGGCTTATGCCCCACAAATGAAGATCGAGTTAGTGAGTTACATCATTTGTTGCCTGAAGTTTAACTGTTTGCCGTTTCGTTCTGTAGCTGGTTATTCGCTTTTCTCGGAGAAATTCGAATTGGACCGCTGCAAGTTACATAGAGGATGAGAGGGGGCTACAATATTCAGTTAAACTTAAGGCATTTTCATGCACGGCCAAGGGTTCTGATAAGATTTGGGCATATTATTGAAGGCAAGGGAACGTTATTAGTACGAATTTTTAATATGCCTATAAAACTCGTTATGATGAAACATGCTTAATACGAATTGCATGAACAAAAATCATAGCTCAACAAAATACCTATACTTCTGTTCTCACCGAAAGTGCAAGCTTTGAATGAGCTCTTCTTGCATATATGTCCTTGGAGGAATCTTGCCCAAGTGCAACAGCCAAATCTGAAACACTGATAGGCCAAGTATCCAGGAACATATTCTTGGTTTGAAAAGAGGATTGAGAATGAATTCACACGGTTTCTTCCTTTGATTGAGTTTGTAAGGCATACTCCAAATCGTGCACTTGTTCTTTGATGAAAGGAAGGTTTCCAGGATTTTCCTCCTCCAAAAGAAGATGTAAAGGTGTTTGTGGTGGGTATTGGTTCAAAATGAAATTTATTTCTTCACCATTGATCTCTTTCTGATTGAGAAGAACCTGCAGTGCCAATTCATAAGTGATCAGTCACCACGAACTTATAAAAAAAGAAAAGGAGGACAGACTGCTAATTAGATTATTTTCACAGCAGTGGTAACAGCTGGTATAATTTCCGCTATCACAGAAATGCTTGCAGATATTATATTATACTGAAGTTACTAAAATATGCTTGACCCTCACTCATGAAGTCTATTTATAACTTTTTTTTGTCAGGGATCTACAAGATTACCTTTATAGTTTTGAGCAAAGCTGCATGGTGCCTCCTTAGGAGAGACACCGTCTTACCATACATGTTACGTATCAACTCTTCAGTCCTTTGTGCAACTTGATCATCCAGCTTAAAATTTAGTGGGGGTTCAATGAAGTTATAGTCATCATAAAGAGAGCCTTCAAAATCCAGCCTTGGTCCAACAAATTTAACTGACTTCCTCCAAGGTGGTGGTTCTCCATGTATGGTCATTGGATTCTCCAAATTCCATCTGCAAGAGTAGAAATAGGAAAAAAGAAGCTGATAGGAATCAATAAAACACGCAGAAACTTAAATGTATCAAAATAAAAGTAATTATGCTAACATAGTTAATATTTTGCGAGCAAGCCAGGATGCATCTGCAAGGTAGTCAACTGAGGCTTTTGACGTGTCATGTCCATAAATGACCTCCTCAGCAGCTCTACCTCCAAGCAGAACCTGTAAATAAAGACAAACTCAAACTGAAACAAATAATTTAAACACGAAAAAAAGAGAGAGGAAACAACTACATATTTACATTTACATACCTGAAGGCGATGCAGCAATTGAGGTAGACGTTCAAACATATATGATTCATCATCAAGTCGATGAAATACCAATTGAGACAATGTCTGTCAGATCATTAAGGCTAAGTTATTCTCTCTCTTTTGTAAGTCAAAATTATAGAAACAAACAAATAGCCTGATGTAGTATAGTTTTAAGTAAAAATCAACCAATGAGGAACTGTAAAGCATGACTGCAGATGGAAATCTTATATACATAGAAATCAAGTAGCCTTAGGTAAGCATATATTTTGGATAAGATCCATTTAGATTTTTCTTCCTCTTCATTTCTAACTGGAGCTTCTTTTTCTACTAACACTTCCATTTCAATATATTTTACAAACTTTACACATCATTCCTGGTCTTTTCTTGCCTTTCTAATTCACATGAGTGAATTTTCATACTTTTCTGTACCAGATTTCCCATGTTACAGTAATGAAACTGCATTTAAGGTGTATCACATATCCTTTATTAATTTCCCAAACATGTATTGGCAATGCCTCAAAACATGAGAATAGGAAAGATTGACACAATACTTTTAGAAGATAGCAGAGGATAATATAGTGAAGGAAGCTGAACAAGGACCTGACCACGAGGTACTATTGAGATGCGATCACAGCATTCAACTTTTGCATTCTCATATCGCTGGAGCAGATGAGAAGTTAATGCAACTCCCACTTCAGCCGTAGCTCTACGACACTGTCCTTGATAACCTAATTCTATTCCAACACGTTTAGGTCCTACTGTAAGTCTGTCAACTGCATCATCCATATCTGACTGAAGAATTGAATTATGCCGTTTCCTGACTGCCACAAGGGCAGCCTCTTGGACCAATTGTGCCAATCTTGCTCCAGTCCATCCTGAAATTAAGAAGTGTGTTCATAGATTAAAATGAAAAGTTCATTAAGCGAAAAAAGGAGTGCATACCAGGTAGGTTCTGTGCATAGCTGGATAAATCAACAGACTCTGACATTTTCACTTTGCTAGCATGAATTTTCAGAATATCAAGTCTTCCTTTTGCACTTGGAGGGCGAATCCTGATCTACAGGAGAAAAATTCAAGGACCATTAACAGCATATTACCATTGAGAGAACCACATAAAACACATCAAATATAATCAAGCAAATTTAAGACAGTGATGCATAGGTAAATCACTGTTTGCACCAGAAGATTTTGTATTAAACAGTGCATTTAATAGGAAAACCAAAGAAGAGATTTAAGTTCATTCTCTCTCCATTTGCCATTATCTTTATAAAAACAAAATACTTTACCCTGAACCCAACCAATTGTGAGAAAGAAATCCACTAACTCAGTCACAGAAAGAAACCTTGCGATCAAAGCGACCTGGACGAAGAAGTGCAGGATCCAACAAATCCCTACGATTCGTGGCAGCTAGAAATATGACACCCTTTCCAGTATCAAAACCATCGAGCTCTATCAACAATTGGTTCAATGTAGTTTCCCTTTCCTGGGTGGCTGCATTATAAAATTCATCCGTGGACCTCTTGAGAGTACCTTGACGCCTGATCACACAAAATGTTCACAATCAGGCAGGGTAGATGCTTAGGGGATTCAGCAAGTCAATTGACAGCAGATGTAAACCATGCAACATCACTGACTTGGTATAATTTTGATAGTTTTAGTTCAACATATTGAATTTTCATTATTCAACAACTGGAGAGAAACAATTGCCTATCATGAACTATGTCATATTCAATAGTTTACTGCAAGTAAATTTTCCAGAATTATTGCATGCCCATCGATATTAAATATGATGATGTCCGCAAGCTTTGACTTAAAAAATATTCCACAAACCAAACCTAATGTCACATCCCCCCATCCAGTCTCATTTGCAACAAAATCATATGTGAGTAATATAGACACTAAACCAATGCCTAGATTAGACCAATCAATTGATCAACAATGCATGTGATATAGTGGCACTTACAATTACTTACTCTACAGACCTATCAGGAAGCTCATAATGACAAGTGGGTTTAACATAAAGTTAGATGTTCCCCTGGGATTTTATGCTTGCTAAATTACTCGTAACTCCATATGGCTTAAGGTTGAATAATGTGGACAATATAAAATCATTCTCTCAGCTAAACACGTGAATACAACATGGATACACTTGAACAAACAACCCTTAACTTTCTACAGTCTACTGTAACACAAACCCAAATAATCATACCTAGTTGCCAATGCATCGATTTCATCTATGAATATAACTGATGGTTTGTTTACCTGCAAAGAGAATCAAAGATTTGAGTACCCACCAATCACTAGCTCTCCAAAGCATACAAACATGAAACTCTACAACCAATGTCATTTTAAAAACTTTAAACGAGAGAAAGAAGCTCTATAGTCAGTCATATCTCATGTAGAACAATATCTTGCTTCCTCATGACACAAAACTGTCTACCCATTTTTCGCAGCAAGAAAAACAGAGGTTATGAATTTACCCCGCTCTCCCACCCCCTCAAAAAAACAAAAAAAAAGAACAAAAAAAAAAAAAGAACAAAGAAGAAGAAGCAAACTTAATGAATATCCCTCTCGACATTATTTCCACTTCTAGAGAGCAAGGAACTGAAATGCATAAAAGCTGACTAATGAAATTAAGCTATTGCTATCCTGATCAAACAAAAAGAAGTTAAAAAATTGTCATATGAAACCAAGGTCCTTGAAAATGTTGAATAGATTTGATTAAACAAAGCAAAAAACAAGGATATATACTGTTTCTTAGAGAAATCAATACCCTTCACTAGTTACCTCACCATTCACATAAACTGAAGGACTATGTGATCAGAACATTCAGTAGCATGCAATTCTTTTTTAAGTAAGTGTACATCAAGTGGAGGAATAACAAAGCAGGATTCAAGAACTTGATCACATTAGCAGCAATACATAATTTTATAATGAAATCCAGAAAAATAGAATTAGAACCACCTTCGCTCTTTTAAATAAATCCCTAATACGTGCAGAACCAACACCAACTAAAACTTCCACAAATTCTGATCCAGCCATTTGGTAAAATGGAACACCAGCTTCACCAGCAATAGCCTTGGCTACCAAGGTCTGCATAAGCATGAAAAAACTTAAACATATGCCAGACAACACAGATTCTGACATCTAACATAAGTGGAGAACAGCTACCTAACCTTGCCACATCCAGGAGGGCCCTCCAGAAGAACTCCATGTGGAGGTTTGATCCCCATTTTGTCAAATAGCTCGGGATTCTTTAGGTATCTAACCAACTAAACAGAACCATAAATGACTGACATTCATGAGTTTTCATTCTTTAGGTATCTAACGAACTAAACAGTAGGCAGAAACTACTAAAATGCGACATAAAAACAGAATACAGAAGAAAATTATAAAAGGGCAACAGGCAAAGGCAAACCCCAATGCACAAGGCTCCCCGACTTGCAAGGCTAGGGATAAGGATCAATTGTACGTAGTCTTACCTTCGCATTTTTGCAAAGAGGCAGAAGAAAAAAAATAAAAAATACACAGAAATTAGAAGAGACGTGCATATAAATGGCAAGCAAGGAAAAATCCTGGAATCAACTACTGTGATGTAGATTGGATTATTTGTTATTTAATTAGGATTTTAATTTTGCAACTAGGGTTTTTGATTTGGGATTATTTATTGTTATTTGTTATTTAGGGATTTTATTCTATATTAGATTATCTAATCCCAACTTAGAATAGGAATAACTGATTAAGATGTTTGGCTATGTTGGGTCTATAAATAGACCATCAATGTAAACAGTTGACACACTTTTGACTATTATATGATATTGAGTTTTATTCATTCAGACTTCAGAGAGTATCTAATATTTGAGTCGGCGGAGCACTCCGCCCTAAAGGAGTACTTTAGGTTCTCTTAGGGGAGTAACCTGCCAATAGGAGTACTCTTGGATTGTCGTACATCATACTGAGGGGTCAAATTTCTAATACTCATATTTTTTTAAATTCGATATGAATTACAGACTTAATTGTTTCTCCTTTGTCTTCCTTGTGCAGTTGCTTACGCATTAATCTGCTATAGGCCGTTTATAATTGTGCACAAGCTTTCAAATATGGGGGGTTATGTAAGATATCAAATCATTGAAAAAAAAAATTCAGACTTGGGGAGACCAGAACCCCCTGGACCTTCCTATTCATTCTTCCGTGATGGAAAGTAATTTGAGCAGAAGAGTGTAACATGTGGCATTGTTTCAATTATCGCTCCCGTAAAAAAGAAAAAAAAAAACTACTAGATAGTGTCATCAAAAGTGTTCAAAAAGAACTGGAAGTCTGAAACATGTCCAAATTTTTTTGAGAAAAACATGCACCTACAAAGTGATCAAGTTCAAAAGATCAAGTAACCTTTACTTCATGCAAAGGCTTCAACTCATAATACATGGAAAAAGTGATAAAAGATTTCTATCACAAAGAGATCAGTCAAGGAGGAAATAACAGCCAAAGTTTCGTCAAAATTTTGCCTCTTTATTTAATTTTTGAGTCACAGCAAATGACCTCACCTTCTGCCCTTCTTTTTTTTTTTTTAGAGATATACCAATCGGAAAAGGGGGCGAACCGGAGCAGTGGTAAAACTGTTCTTTCATGACTGAAAGGTCATGGGTTCGAATCCAGAAAACAGCCTCTTTGCAATTATGCAAGGGTAAGGCTGCGTACAAGGATTTCCTCCACCCCACACTCGCTAGTCGGGTTTAACGGGGAGTGGTAAAAAGAGATATACCAATCGGTTCATCACTTCGCTACTAGTCCAATTCGGGGCGGGCCTTGAGATTAAGGCTTTAACCCCCTCTCAAAGACGGTACTCGGAAAGATCGAACACATGCTCTCACCCCCACCTACTCAGTTCCTTGGAGCCAACCGAACTACCACCATTTGGTACCTTATGCCCTTTTTTAAAGGGAGACATTGGCACCAGCAGAAATGAAACTTTTCAGCACACTCATAATTGGAATCAGCGAAGTATAAAAGAATTACCTCTTGAAGTTCCTCTACAGCCTCATCAATTCCAGCCACATCACAAAACTTAACTCCAGTTGAACCCTGAAAGGGTGTATTGCAAAGATAGAAACTAAGAATAACATTAAAAGATTTTAAGACTGGAAAACTAAGAATAATAATAATAATAATAAGTGATTTTAAGAATAGAGACTAATGTAAAGATTAGTGTTAACACACATCAACACGTGCTTCAGCTTTTGACCGTGAAAAGTCTATTCCCTGCCAAAGATCCTGCATATTAAAGTAACATCTATTAGAATATATTTATCAAGGACATCCTGGAACAAATATGGCTCAAAATTCATACATAACTCTATGAAAGAATGCTCAGTCACTTACCCACTTCCTGAAGTTTTTAGGTCTTCTTGAAATAGTGAAGCGAATAAGAAGGACCATAGTCAAAAGAACAATCATAATTGGTTTCAATGCCTCAATGCTGGCAGATATACCACCAAAAGTGTAAATTTCATACAACTTGGAGAAAATGCCACCATCGCTGAAAAAATCAACAATATTATCCCAAATCCTCTCCAAAATTGCTAAAACAATTCCAAGAAAAAGCCTGATAAATGGTTTGGCAATTGGCCACACAATATAGACAGATGTCACAAATATAAAACTGGTAACAGCAAATATTGCTGCTGCAAGGAAACCACCAACTAGAATTGCTGCTAAACCCATCAATACTGTCACCACTCCAAGCTCAACCGTCATTCTGCTGGATATGGAAGATGCAACAGGGTGAGGATACTCTGGCAATTTTCCCACCCAAGACTGCAACAAAATAATTTCAAAGTTAAAAGAACAATGACAATATGATCACCCACAACAGGATCTCATCCATGCATTATTTATGCTTAATTATTTAAACTCTGAGTCTCTAACTCCAGACTTAGTAAGAGAGTATAACATAACTTAGAAAAAGTAAACGAAACCAAGGTAAAAGATCAAATCTAACTGATTTTACCCTATTAGTACTAAGACTGCCTAATATAATGAAAATTATTCAAGTATACAGAGATAAAGATTAACAACCGTAGTATGCCTCTCTATCTCATAACGTGGTCCAGTGTAATCCTCCAAAATTGCTTGAGCTTCACTTTTATCCAGCCTGATAACCCTACAAAATTGCGTGCATAATCTATCACGACACAGCAGTACACAAAGAACAAGGTGTACAAAACCACGTAAAACTAATCAAGAATCTCATTTTTTTTTTTTTTTACCATTTGGTTGTGTGCAAGCTTTTATCACCAGGGATTTCCTTCAACTCAACGACAAAATCCCTATAACCACTGCCATAAAAAAGACCTCCACCTTCCTTTGAAGTTATCATCTTGATTTTGTCTTTACTCAGAGCTTTCCTGAACTCCTCAATGCTCATTCTCGGCAACGAGTGTAAATTCTTATCGAACTCTTCCTCTTCCGACAACTCTGTACTGAAAATATGCTCCGGCACGTAAAGTTTCCCTTTATACTCCTTAAGCAAGTCATTCAAATGCACAGAATCTCTCTCTTCCAAAACCTCATTCTCACTCTTCCTTTGGGGCTTCTTCAAGCTCAACCTCTTCAGCACATCAAAAATACCCACATTCACCTTTTTACCCAAATTTTCTTTCTCTTTCAAATTGTAGAACTTGTCGCCAACTAGATACTTGGGTTGCACTTGGCTTGGGTTCTCCTTCAAAACCCGGCTCACAAAATCATCACCATCTTGGGAAGAGGATTTGCACAGCACCGTGAATGACCTCCGGGGAAGAACTTGCATCGGAAAATTCCTGTTACGATTGGAATGCACTTGCTTCGATGTTCCATGGCGGTGGGTGTAGTAGGATTTGTTGAAGTGAAACTGGGGTAAGGAGAGAATGTTCATCGTTCTAGCAAATTCATAAATGGATAAATGAAGATGTGGCACGGAAAGGGTTTATGAAATTAGGGTTTTAAGCAACACGACGCATGGCATGCAAATGCATAGAGATGATGAAGAAATTGAAATTGCTCATCTGCAACTGCTCCATTTCCACCCAATCCGATAAAGCTTGACTCGTTTTCTAGCCGGGTCGGGTACCCAACCCGTATTAATAATTTCATTTCACCACCAAATATTAAGTATAAAATTTATTTCTTGCTCAGAACAAAAAGAAAAAAAAAAAAACTTGTTGACATGCAAAAACTTGTTTTTTTCTTAAACTTTTTTTTATATATTTTTTAGAGAAAAAAAAAATAATGTCCATTTTTTTAAGGGTAAGACTTTATTATTATTTAATTATGAATTCATACCACTTTTGTTAGCTTTTCATAGTAAATGCATTTTAAATTGGGAGATTATAACCATTGTTAATAAACCTGGTTAATAAACCTGGTACAGCTCGAAAATTGGTGAATCGGTTATATAATCGGTTCAAGTGAAGTAACAAATTGGGTATGTATTGGATTCGGTACGACCCGATCTGGTTTATTTAAAAAAATTCAAAAAAAATCATAATTGACATATTTAAGTAAATTGTTGCTAATTGACTTACATAGATCATGTACTTACACTACTAATATTATCTCCACTATACAAGAAATTTTGATTTAATTTATAGTTAGAGATGTCGTTTACAGAATATGAAACATAGTATCACAAACATTATATGTTTGTTTGATTCTTTATTGAACAATAATGTGTAATTTATTTTTTTAAATTAAAATATTTAGAATTTATATTTTTTTCAGTTATTTGAGTATGTTTATAATTTTTTTAATATAAATTATAAATGGATTCTATTAATCTCATGTTAAAGGAGATAAGTTATCTCATGTCATAGAGATAAACTTGTGGGCTCCACCACCTGAAAAATAAAAAGAAAAGAAAAGAAAAAGGTGGCACAGTTATCGAAGGGTGTGTAGGAGAGAAATTTATCACATGTAGCATAAGAGTAGTTTTTCCCATTATAAATAGGGTAAATGATTTCTCCAGTCAATGGAGATAAGTTATCTCCGGTAAGCTCGAAATGACGTCAGTTAGGGGCAAAAATTAAGATATTTTTGTAATTCTAATGTATTGCAGGGTTACATTAGTCTTTATCATTATAATTTTTTAATCTTATAACCACAAAACGACGTCGTTTTGAGCTCATTGAAGATAACTTTATCTCCAGTGACTAGAGAAATACTTTTCCTTTATAAATATACATATAATCACCTTATTATTCAGTTGAACCAATGACCCACTGGTTGAACCAGTAACCCAATGACCCGGTACCTCGACCAGGTCAATGAGGGCTGATTTTAATAACATTGTTATATACTTACTACCTTTTTTCTTAATACTTTTACTACCAAATGTTGATTTTCATCAATTCAACTGTTATAATTTATTGAAAACTAATAATTAATTAATAAGTGTAACCCAATAAATTATAACTCTTAGATTGGTAAAAATCAACGATTAAGATTTGACAGCAAGAGGTAATAAAAAAAAATAGTAAGTATAACCTCTCTCTTTTAAATTAAGGGAAAAATGTTTATTTCTCATTTTAAATGTCATAAAGTTACGTCGTTTTAGTATATTTACATTTTTTTTTCTTTTTTTATGAATTAGAAGAAAAAAAATGGAGGAAATAAAATGTAAAAAAAAAACTAAAATGATGTAATTTCATTAAAAATGTCATGACTTCATGTCATTTAAAATGGCAAAAGAAATTTCCCTTAAATTAATTATTTTTTATTTTAAAGTTAAATATTTTTAGAGATAATATGTATAAATTTTATGTGTAGTCAATATTATTTTGATATAAAATTAGGATTGACAATTAATGAACTGACTATAATAGTGCTTTATTCAAATTTAATTATAAGTTTCGAAGCTTTTAAAACGATAAAAAGAATAAAAAGATAACGATGAGGCGAAGAAAAATTATTTCTCCTTATTTGACGAAAGTGATGAAGAAAGATAAAAAATTACAAACTCATAAAAAATAACTGAAAAGATTACAAGCTCAGAAAAAAGTTTTCAGACACAGAAAATTACAGACCTAATGGGACACAAATCATAGAAAACAAAGTTACAAAAAAAGTAATATCATTCTCCTTTTTCTTTTGTTTTTTTTTTAGGGATCACTGAAGTCAACACCTTTAAATTTTGTGTATAATGAATTCATCCGTTTAAATGTAGTTCCTAACCTTCATTTTGACTTTTTCTTTTATACGAATAGTTGAATTGGTGGGCAGGAAGATTCGAAGTAGTCACTAGTCACTAATCACTGTAGACGAAAATGGAGCAGATAATACATTGAAGGAGGGGAACCAATTCTCCCATTAGTAATCAAATTCTACGTTCATTTGAATAATCTCATGAAAATTTGTCATTTTACCCCGTACCTCAAGTTCTTTCAGTCCTCAATCAATCCCCATTGTGTGCTCAATTCACATATTAATGATCAGCTAAGGCAAATCTAACATGTATTCACAGTTGCCCACTAAAGCAAGTTTCTAAAAAGGTGTAGCACCCCAAATAAAAAAAAAAATTGGTGAATAACGAGCAATAGCTCAAGAAAACTTATCGAGGATTAAATGATGCTACGGGAATCAATTTTTTCTATTCTGTTGGGCTGCTTCAGCATACTGCTCTGCAAGTTTCTTTACTTTCTCACCTTCCTTTATGAGGAAATTAGCATTCTTTGCTTTGCAATGATGCTTCATAACCTTATCAGTTGTTTTTGCAACAACCCACCTGTATTGATCAGCCGTGATCACACCACTCTTGCACAGTGGCCTGATATGCTCCTTGATGTAGGCTTCTACCTGTACAAAGTCCAGCACTGTTACGGAAATCTGGGAATTATACAGGAAACTAAAGAAATGGAAGAAAAAAAATGATAGTATTGACCATTGCTCATTTAAAAAAAAAAAAAATAAGGAAAATGAGTGACAAGGGAAAATTAGATTTCTAATACCTTCCTAGTAACATGATTTACAGAGTCCGACTGCTTGGAAGTGATGTCAGATTTCTCTTCCTTCCTTCGGGAATTTTCCCCCGCCTCAGCTATATTAGATTTGTCAGTGCTGGCAGTGACAAACACATTCTCTGTGAGATTCTCATGCCCAAATTTCGAAACATTTACTGCTTTGTCTAAGACGTGTTTTACGTCATTATGGCAGTCATTGACCTCACTTAGAGTTTCTGTCTTGTCCTCTCCACGTAATAATGATCTTGATTCACCATCTGGAAAAAATTTTATAAGTGGTTCTTTGTCAGGGCCATATAATTCTTCAAATTCTGAATCAACTGGCTCAACAGCACCCTCACAATGTGGGAGCTCAGAAGAAACAGAAGGCTGGCCAATCTCTGCATCAATTGTAGAATCCCTATGCACTGCATTATTGTGACAGTTTGGAGAGCAGGAAGCATCTCCTGACACTTCATTGTTTTCAGACCCCTCACAGTCTGGACAATCCAAAGCATTATCTGACTTTTTCAAGTTCATGGTGGAGAAAACAAGTTTCACTTTTGACTCACTTTGCTCTTGTTTTGGGTTTGAGACCTTTGTAAAACTAGCACCAATGTAATCTTCATCCTCCAAATCGTACTCAAAATCACCATAAATATCCAGATCAGGATGAGAATCCAGTTCAAGTATATTATCCGGCCCTGACATATCATCTTCATTACATATTTCTCTGTTCTTATGTGGACTGCTAGGTGGCGAATCAGACAATAGACCAGCATCTTTCAATGCTATTTCAACTGCAGGATCATTTGAAAGATCATCAGCATTTTGTTCTGATTGATCAGTGAGCACTGCTGATGAGGCAGGTACATTGGATTTTGTGTTATTTGCGCGATGCAAGAGCTCTTGTGAACAAAGGTTTAGATACACAAGCTTGCTGCTTGATCTGTCAGCAACCTCCTTTTCAATATTAATTGCATCTGCAACAGCCAATTCTGTATCTGCAGTTCTGCGAATGACTGGCAGGTTTGTGTTCCTCAATAAGCGCTCTGTCAGGCGGTAAAGTTGTGTCTGTATACATATTAAAATTAACATAGTATGAGATAGCAGAAATCTAACCAACACGATCATTAATAGAGAAAGAAAGCAGCTCCAACGGATTTTGTAACTTGGTATATTGGAAATAGTCATGCTCCATTACTCAAATACAATTCAACTCCACTAACATGCCAAAAAAGGAAGAAAAATTATTCTAAATTTGTATGGGGTCCACCATTAATAATTCCAATCCTTCAAATCTGGCAACCAGTCAATCCGTGACTATAATAGATTCAAATTCTTTAAAAGATTCTATCATTCTTTTTTGGCGTGGAACTTCGCGTTGTATCACTCATCAAGTGCATTGTATCACTCATCCAGTGATACTGACAGTGGAACTGAGATAAAAACCCGGGTTGGAAATCCAGTGGCAATCAGATGTTTGTGTTAAACATTTGAAAACAGCAGAGAGCTAATGTTAAATTTAGTTCCAAAGTCAGCAGAAAGGGATAATTGTACTAAGGATTCAACGTAGGAATTGGGACATATTTTCTCAAACCCAATGTCATTTTGAATTACTATCTATTGATGCTTTTATTAGATGGGAGATATTAATCTTATGTTACATAAGATAGGTATCTTATGTTGGTGAAATAAAGTTGTGGGGTCCACAATTTTTAAAAAAAGAAAAAATGAAAAAAAAAAATGGGCACAAGATTTTATGAGCGTGCAACATAAGACAAGTATCTTATGTGACATAAGACAAGTATTTCCCTTATTAGATACATCCAGCGTACCAAAAAAAAAAAGGTGTGTTGCTTTTTTCATCTCAAGTTTTCTTCTTCAATCTAACACATGTAAGGTGGAAACGAAAGTTACAGCATACCTGCCTCACTGATATAGGAATTTTATTGTGGCGACAAGGTCCCAGTACTGGTCTCATATCAGCTGGTAATTGGGCCTACTCACAATAACAGAAAGAAATAACAGTGAACATTCATAAACAATTTCTGATACCAACTTCAAAGATAATTAAATTGATCACGTAAAAAAACAGTAATCAGACCGTTTACATACCAGCAAAGGATAATTTCCTTTAAAAATTGCATCATCTTCCTGATTTTCATTTGCTGTGTTCCTGCTTGCAGCAGCTGTTTTCCTCGCAAGAACCTCTAAGGCCCATTTTCTTTTATCAATCTTTATAGAATCAGATTTTAGGCCTAACTCCTTTGTGCCAACTTTGGCACCAGCTGATGAAACTGATGCCCCTTTTGTGGGACTTCTCAAACGTGCTTTACCAGAAGCTGAATTATCATCAACTGAGCCATGTACAATCTTCTTATCTACTTTTTTTTCAGATGAACAGACTTTGGTCTTTGATAAAAGATTATTTATCTGTGTTGCTTTTATAATATTGTTATCAAGAGATAGATTTGATACTTTTCCTGATGGGTTATTTTGTTTAGTCTGCTCTGAGCTAGCAATGGTTTTAAGTAGAGAGAGAGGTTTGACATCCTCTTTCCGTGGAAAAACAGATGTATCTGCTAAATACAATCTGGAAAGTATAGGACTCTTGGCCTGACGTTCAGGAGCTTGATTTGATTCTGGGCTCTCCGAACTTTTTCTTAGTAGATCAAGAACTGATTTTAAAGTTTCGATCTTTTCAGGCTTTGAAGCTCTCATGCAACGATATTTCCAAAACTCAATTTCACAGTCCCTGTCCCATGCACGCTTTCTTCTGCCATTTGAAGTCCCAAAAATTTTCTTTGTTAGATGTTCACGTACTTTTCCTTTCTGCAACATTGACTTCTTTGCCTTTACAGCTGAGGGAGATAACTTACTTACAGGTTCAGTTTTAGGCCCTGCTATAGCAGCCCTAAATGCTTCAAGAAGCTTTGTATCAAAATTGTTATCCTCAAAGTTTATGGAGGATTTGTTACGGACAGCTTCTCTAATTTCCTTCCTTAGATTTTGAACTACCAAGGATGATTCTCCATCATCAGAAACTCTCTTCATGATCTTTTTAACCCTCAACCCATCCATATTTTCTTTCTTTTCAGATAACTTGTCAAAAGCATTAGTTCCAGCAAGTCCCTTGGAAAGCCTCCGGTTCGACCCTTTAACTATATTCATTATATCTGATGTGACAATCTCCTTTGTTGGAGAATGTTTTAAAGCAGGGTATTTTTTAGCGTTGTCTGAAAGATGAGCATCAGCTGAGTCATTAGCACTAATCATTTGACTACCAGCAGCTCTAATTTTCTTTTGCAAAACTTCAACCGGAAGTTCAGGCTTGGCATCTCCATCATCAACTTTTATATGAATTTGCTCATAACTGTAACATCAAGAAAGAAATTGAGGGAAAAAACAATTAAAAGAAAGACAGAATTTGAACTCCTCATGTGATGATCATACAACAATTAACAAATTTATTTCAACAGAATATCTTCAGTTTTAATAGCACATATAGGCACCTGCTCCTCTTTCTTTCTGTCTTCATGGGAGTATTAAAAAAAAAAAACCAAGACAAGATTCAAAATGTTCTTATTCATTATTTTGTCTTCACAGCTGGCAGCACCACTTTTATGATGAAAATTTATGCCAACAACCACATACTTCTAAAGGTGAGCATAATGCTAAAAGCAGCCCCTATATATTACAACTAGGTCTCTCGAGTTTTAGAATAATAAATAAATTTCTATCTAAGTGGAATGGTACATCTTGGTATCAGGCTAAGAAAATACTGAACCCATCTACAGTTTTCCTCCTCAAAAGAAAGATGTGGGTGTTCAAAATGGCCAAATTTACATGGCGCAGGTGAAAATCGCATTATTCAGACACAAGAAAATAAACAGAAGCACCTAGTTGAGAGAATTTCAAAGTACTTGACATTGGTAACTGTTAAGAATATAGGGAAGTATTAAGGAAAGTCTTATGGATTAAGGACGCATTGACTCCTAACATCAAGGGTGGTTAATTGGGGGGGCTTGATTCTGGGTGACTGATTCCTGTCAATCAGGAAGTTGATTGCGGGGTGATGGATTGACAACTATAGATTGTATATCACTCCCTCTAGTATAAATACAGGTGAGGTCTACGGCAAAGTGTGCATTGTCCAACAGCCTTTTTATTTTCTCTCACTCAATCTTTCAACAGTCACAATAACTGTTGGACACAACTCATCTTAAATGACATAGATTTAAGAATTATTACCTGCATTCGACATGCTTTCTCTTTCCAGCAGTTACTCTGGCATTGTCCTTCCGAGCATTGGTTTCAATTTCATCTCCTGAGAACATTTTATTTGCGACATTATATGGTTTAAAAATGTGTTCAAATGCTTCTCAGCAACCAATATAATCCGTCAGTGATTTTCCATGAGTCACATAAAATAAAGAAAGCAAAATGAATCATTTCTAAGAATGGTGCAGTACCTTTTGAAAAAAATTCTTCAGGACTCAAGCATAGGACATCAGTTGCTTGATCTTTTGTTTCATTCTTATCCGCATTATCAACTAGAATCACATTAAGATCAAGACAATCAGGCTAGCTTACAATTGGAGAGCACAAAAAATCATTATGATGTACTTTTCATGCTAAAAAAAAGTTAGTGATAAGTTACATAAAATAGTTACCAGATAAAAAAGAGCCCACCGACAAACCAAGATGAAGACCCATATCAGATTCATTTCTGGATGGACTAGTTTTGACATGGGACTCGTCAAATAACTTGGTTCCATCAAAGCCACTTGGTTCACTCCTTGCTCCATTAGCACTTTTCTTTGACTCATTATGCACCACGGATTTAGAAGTTAGGCTACAGGATACATTGTGCGATAAGGACAGCTCCAGTTCCTCTTCCTCCATGACTGGTGACATAATTGTCTTTTCTGTCTCCCTCTGCTGATTATCTGTGTCAGATATTAACATACATGATTCAGTCAACATATCCCCATCAATTTCAAGAGGCAATAGGCCTTTCTCGCTTGTTGCTGGAACCCATGTATTTCTGTCAACCATTGAGACAACAACAGCTGTCTCTCCACTATCAGCCACAGACACACACACTTTTCCTGAAAATGAATCCTCAGCATGACATTCACTGTTACTATTCTCTGGGTTACTTTCCCCGGTTGCCCTCTGTATTGAATTGGCATCTGTTCCTTTAGAAACTTCATCAACCACACATCTAAAACAAAACCCTGAATTAGAATACTAAAGGATGAAAAGAAGAGATTATATACTGTCAGCAAACAATTTTAGATTCATGTGCTTATGTTTCAAGCAGAAGGAAGTTTACCCGGGAATTTTGTAAGTAAAATTGAATTGTACAATACTGAATGGTGTAATAACTGTACAAGAATTCTCTATTTAAAGAGACTAAAAAAATCTAATGGGCTAAGCCCAAATAAACTTCTAGAGTATTCTAACTATTACAAAATAGTGATATAAAAATAATAATCAGATAAATAAATCTAATCTTTGCAATACTCCCCCTCAAGCTGAGGAATGGATATTTATCATTTCCAACTTGTTAGTAAGTTCTTGAAATCTATCATTAGGAAGACCTTTAGTTAAGACATCATCCCATTGATGACCAGAAGGAATATATGCAGTAATGATCAATCCACTATCTAGTTTCTTTTTGATGAAGTGGCGATCAATCTCAATATGTTTGGTTCGATCATGTTGAACTGGATTGTGGGCTATACGAATAGCTGACTTGTTATCACAAAGTAACTTCATAGATCTTTCATATCTCACCTTGAGATCATCGAGAATAATTTTTAGCCACAATAACTCACGGATCCCTTGAGCCATGGTTCGAAATTCTATTTCTGCACTTGATCTAGCAACCACATTTTACTTTTTACTTCTCCACGTTATTAGATTTTCATAGAGAAACATACAATAGCCCAAAGTAGACCGTCGGTCAATCACAGATCCAGCATAATCGGCATCTGTATAAACTTCTAAGAATAGGTTTCCTCCTCTCTGGAACAATAGTCCTTTGCCTGGTGCGCCTTTTACATATTGGAGAATCCTGTCCACATCTCGCAGGTGTTTCTTCCTCGAATCATGCATGAATTGACTAACAACACTAACTGCATAAGCTAGACAGGTCTAGTATGAGCTAGATCTATCAATCTTCCCACTACTCATTGATATTGTTCTTTATCAACTGGAGGGCTCTCATTTTCATTTCCTAGTCTGTGATTCTGCTCAATTGGAGTACTAGAAAGTTTACACCCAAGTTTTCCTGTTTTTTTAAGGAGGTCAAGAACATACTTCCGTTGACAAATAAATATCTCTTGTTTTGAATAAGCAACTTCTATCTCAAGAAAATATATCAGTTTTTCAAGATCTTTAATTTCAAATTCAGCAGTCAATCTTTTTTGCATAGCAAATTTCTCACCTATATCATCCCCTGTTATAATAATATTGTCAACATAAACTAGAAGAATAATGGTCTTACCTTCCTGAGAATGTTTAAAGAAAAGTGTATGATCTCCTTGACTTTGCTTGTATCCCAACGATAGCATAACTTTGGTAAATCTTCCAAACCAAGCACGCGGGGATTGCTTCAAGCCATACAACACATTCTTCGACCTGTAAACTTTATTATCTCCATTTGTAGAGTTAAATCCTGGTGGGATCTCCATGTAAACCTCCTCTTCTAATTCGCCATAGAGGGAGGAATTTTTCACATCAAACTGTTTCAAATCCCAATTAAAATGAGCAGTAAGAGACAATAGAACTCTTACAGTGTTCATTATAGCCACTGGAGCAAATGTTTCTTCGTAATCAATGTCATAGGTCTTTGTGTATCCCTTGGCTACCACTCGAGCTTTATACTTCTCAAGAGTCCCATCAGATTTATACCTCGGAGTATGCACCCATCTGCACCATACTGCCCTTTTTTCATTTGGCCTGTCAATAACTTTCCATGTATTATTTTTCTCCAATGCATTCATCTCGTTATGCATGGCTTGAAACCAATTATCATCCTTTAATGTTTCATGTACTGATTTCGGGAATGAAATGGAGTCAAGTGTTGTAATAAAACTTCTATGCTGCATAGTGAGATTCTTAGAGGAGACAAAATGAGAAATAAGGTGTTGGGTACAAGGCTTTTTCCCTTTCCTTACAACAATGGGTAAGTCATCAGAATAAATATCAGGCTTAGGAATAAAAGAAGTAATGTATTCAGTACTTACCAGCGGTTCAGACAATTGCAGTTGCTGGTGGAGAAGTGTGAGTTGTTTCTTCCTTTGGTAAAATAGTTTGGGTGTCCCAGCTTTACGTATTTTCGGTCGATCGATAGAGGCATGTCACATAAGGAATCAGATGAATTTTCAGCCTTAGCAACTAAGTCTTCCTTCTCATTGTCATGTAGTATAACTACTAGGGTAGGAGATGTAGATAACGGAAAGGGAGACTCAAACTCAAAGAAAATGGATGAAGCTTCTGTATTGTTCTTCCCCTGAAGCTGAGGGTGTAAAAAGTAAGACTCATATTCATGGAAGGTAACATCCATGGAGACAAAGAATTTACGACTTGGAGGGTGGTAACATTTGTATCTTTTCTTATTGGGAGCATAACCAAGGAAGACACACTTAAGGGCTCTAGACTCTAATTTACTCCGATGTTGTTCATGGACATGGACAAGGGCAACACAACCAAAGACGCGAGACTGGAGACTCTTCTTAATTGGAACAGAAGGAAAAAAAAAAGTCATGAAATCAACAGGACTTACATGGTCAAGAACTCTGGAAGGTAAGCGGTTGATCAAATAGACTGCAGTTAATACAACTTCTCCCCAGTAAGAGTTGGGTACAGATGTTTGAAACAATAATGCTAGGGTGACTTCAGGAAAACGTCGATTTTTTTCTTTCAGCAACCCCATTCTGTTGAGGGGTATCCACACATGTGAGTTCATGAACCATTCCTTTGTCTTTAATAAAATGGGAAAGAAGTTGATTAATATATTATGTACCATTATCTGATCTTAAGCGTTTGATATTTTTACCAAATTGGACTTCAATCATATAATAAAATTGGATAAACACATGTGTTACTTCTGCCTTATCTTTCATCAAGAATATCCATGTTATCCGAGTATAATCATCAATAAAGGAGACAAACCACTTAGCAACAGAAATATTAGGGACCTTGGAAGGCCCCCCAAACATCAGAATGAATAATAGTAAAAGGTTCAACATTTTTTATTGCACTCGAAGAAAAAGATATACGATGATGTTTTGCAAACTGACAAACATCACAATTAAAAGACTCAACAGACTGTGACACAAACAAAGACGAAAACATAGACTTAAGTACACTAAAAGAAGGATGACCCAAACACTTGTGATGAAGCCAAATAACAGAATCCGAAGTAGACTGACTAGCCATCAAAATATGATCCCTGGTACCTTCTGCAGCAAATTCTGGAACCAGATAATACAACTCACCCTGCTACTTAACAACTCCAATCTTCTTCCCCATGGTAAGATCCTAAAAAAACACAATGAGAAGGGGAAAAAGTTACAATGCAATTCAAATCTGTAGTAAGCTTATGAGTAGAAAGGAGATTGGTAGAAAGTTGAGGAACATGAAAAGCATTTTTGAGACACAAGGAGGGTTGAATTTTAATGTTACCAGAACTTGCAAAGTGTGTGATCCATCAGCTATAGCTATAGTCCGATACCAAAGTAGGATTATAAGAAAGAAATGGGTTTGTGCAGCAAGTCATATGATCAGTAGCACTAGAATCCACAATCCATGAAGTTTTGAGATCAATGCAAGAAGCAATAAAAGAATAAGTGCACGAGTTCTTACTAATCATAGCCAAAGTACCAGGACCAGAGGGCTTATTGAGAGATTCAACTATGGACCTAAACCGTTCCAATTCCTCACGAAGAATAGTAGTAAACGCACCAGGCATATGTGAGGTCTCATTTACAGGAGAAATGTATGAGGGAGCTAAAAAGGATTGACCACGTGAGGTTGGCTTACCAAGCTTCTCAAGAACCTATTGCTTTCCATGAAGACGATAGCAAACCTCTTTGGTGTGACCTAGTCTTTTACAATAGTTGCACCAACGACCCTCTTTGCTGGACTTAGAAGAAAAGAACCCATGAAGTGGTTTAGCTGAGATCATAGCAGACCCGTCAGTGGACTTAGAATCAGAAAGAGGTGTAGTAGCTTTAGATGAGAGCATGACATATCCTTCGGACAATTTGGCATCCATCATAACAGCCCTACGACTTTCTTCACCCCTGACAGTGTGAAAAACTTCAGAAAGAGAAGGTAATTTTTCCTTACCAAGAATTTGAACCCGAATAGGGTCATATTCTGAGTTGAGGCCACAAAAAAAATCAAAGATCCAATTTCGTTCAGTGAAGGTGGCCAGAGTGGCTAGATCCTTGCTACACTCCATCTTCAAACTTTGGTACTGATCAAGCTCAGCCCACAATCCATTCAGAATTCCATAATACTCTATTACAAAGAAAGAGCCCTGCTTGGTAGAAAAAATCCTATTCCTCAAATCATAGCAGGTGGCGGTATCTTGTTTCATTGATTAAGTCTGCCTAAGAATATCCCAGATCTCAAGAGCAGTAGATAAGAACATGCAATGTTGACTAACCTCAGGAGCCAGAGTTCTATAGCCACGCCATAATAAGGGAGTCTTCATCATCCCAATCAGTAAATTTTGGATCTGTTTTGGTAAGGAAAAGTCCTTCATGATGAGCAATTTTACAACGCCCTCCGAGGATGGTATGAACAAGCTGAGACCATTGTAAATAATTTTTTCCATTAAGACGGTAATTCTGATGGAAAACAGGAAGATCATTTGGTGAAAGAATAGTCATCGAGTGTGTACCAAATGATTGATTGATTGGAGTGTCTTCAATGTCCGACATAACACTAGTTAAGAACAAAAACAATCAAAACAGTGAACAAAATGTCACTGGAACGGTAACGAAATACTGTGGGAAGATTGTGACTAAGTGGAAATGCCAAGATAGTCACAGATCCAGACGCGCAAGGAGACCAGCAGAGCAAAGGTGGTCCGAGGTGAAACCCCACCATCACGCGCAAGAGAAGTTGTCAGCGCGTGGGTGTCACGCGCAGAAGAAGCAGCGCCTGGGAGCGCATGCCTGGTTAGTCGAAGCTGTGCTTTTCAGGTGAAGGTCACCCGAAGGTTGCGCTCCTGTCTGTGGCTGGCTGGAGTCCAAAAAGTCACTGGAATAGTGCTTAACAGTGAGAACAGGTGCGGTTCACTGTTTTTGGAATTGTTTGGGATGTCAATTGACTGGAAAATGTACGTAGAAGGATACATCAGAGAAAAAGAAGTCCAATAGGGTTCCTCTCGGTCCAAAAGATCCCCGAGAAAATTTTCCGGTGGTGGCTAGTGGCGGCGAGAGGCAAATAGAAAAAGGTTTCTGCTCTAACGGCGGGAATTGCTGAAGCAGAACCCTCAGAATCGAGAGCTCTGATACCAAATTGAATTGTATAATATTGAATTGTGTAATAACTGTACAAAAATTCTCTATTTAAAAAGACTAAAAAGACCTAATGGGCTAAGCCCAAATAAACTTCTAGAGTATTCTAACTATTACAAAATAGTAATACAAAAATAATAATCAGATAAATAAATCTAATAATTTACAATAAGTAACAATAATTAGATACAAACCCAGCAATGTGTTTAGCATGAAACTTCAGATAACAGAGAATTTGTTTGTAAAACTAGGATTATGGACAACCTTTTGACAGTTCTATTTTGGTTTTGGATAAAATACATTCATTTGATAGTTAACCACACCTTAAACAGTTTCTAATTTCTTGTTTAGATTATCAATAATCTAACCAAGTTTTCTATCTTAGGGAACCATACTGGGAAAAAAATGTCAAATGAGCGGCTTCTATGCATATGAACAAACAGCATACAAAAGAGCTTTGAGATTAAAGATAATAAGAAGAATTAATTGGAAGCACAACAATACCCAACAGAATAACTGACAATTTAATTTACCTTGGGCATAACCACGTACTGTCAGATGTAGCTTCAGTATCAAATCCCACACAGAAGGCATGATACCTGTCACAATGAAATTCGAGCAACAATCATGGGGTACTTTTGCCAAAAATCCTAATAATGATCTACCCCCCAAAAAAAACACACACCCCACCAATAAAAGTAGTTGACAAAAACACTTGCACAAGCTCTTAGATTTTATACTACATTATGAACACCATCTCTCTTACAATCATGATCTACCATGTGTTTAGAATGGGTTGATCATTGATGGCCATGCTTCAATAGGGTCAGCTTAGCCATGTAAAAAATAACAAGACAAGCAATCCACAGTGTGTTCCGACAGCAAGCATGTGCCTGGCTGCACCCTTGACTCCTGTCAAACTTCTAATCGACCCTTTTAGATTTAACTATCCATCTATTTGTGTTTCTTATGAATTTATAAGCAAGGCAGTCTGTAAATTTTGTTACAAGCTGAAAACGCAGAATTTTTCTGCCAAATGGCTCTTGCAGCTTTGCTCTAAACCTAGGCAAACACGGAAATAGAAAGGGAACCAATCCAACAACAACATCATAGTCATAGAAGACAATAATCTACTGAAATTTTACTCACTCAACGGCATATTAAACAAAAGATATTTATTTCAATCTGTTAAAATTACAGGGATTTAGATATGGAAGGAATAAAAGAGAGAATAAAAACTGAATAATATTGGTATTGATTTGATGTGATGCAATCCCGATTTATATAAATATTAAACTCCAAATCCTAATTAAATAAGGAAATAAATCATGAAATATAAGAAATAAGGAAACTATTCCTAAGAGATCATATAAATTATTATGAACTATTGAACTATTCTAAGATACAATCAAGATATTGTAAGATATTTTTTATACATTATAACACAATCTAAATATCTGAAACTTATTAACCTAATCCATTGTTTTGAGCTTACCATATATCACATGAATCACAAGCAATTGATGTATCAAGACCAGAATCTCCTTCAATAGTTGCCAATCCACTTCGAACTTTGCAGCCATCACCATCCAAGCAAATAACTGCCTACAAAATGATGAAATACATAAGGATTAGTGTTATACATTAATTTCAGAAAAAGACAAATAATAATGCAAAATAAGAATGTTGAAAATTATATTAATTCCTAAGCAGAGTCAAGTGCTGCAGGATTTTGCTACTTAAAAATGTTGAGGAATTGATAAGAGTATTAAGTAACTGAGTGAGAGAATTAGGAAAATATTTGCTTGTAGTGCATCCCAAGTAAAGGGTACGTGACTGTCAATATGTAGTCATAATATTAGAACATGGTTTAGGGGTCGGTACTAGATTTTCAGATTCAGTCAGTATATTTGTGTTCTTTACTTTTCTAACTACCTTTTTACCCTCTCCAGTGTCTCCATTATCTCTTACCATGCAAATAAACTAGCACAATAAATATATGAAGATAAATAAAACGATATCAATCATGACATAATTGTTTTCCATGCTTGAGATTCCATGTTAGTTGTATAGCCAAAATATATATTGCACACAGCTAAAGACTTCAGGCACATGTGCTGTTAATGAACCAATCACAGGTAACACAGTGCTAAGGATCTAAATGCCAAAATTTGTATGCGCAGTTCACTCCAGTGTCCAGACTTGTATTGACATTTAGAAAACACTTGAAATCAATTTATGATTGGAATCAAAAGATTTTTGCGTATGGGATATGTGTGTTAGAATATATTAGATATGATTACATATGATTAGTCTGATTAGATATGATTAGATATGATTAGAGTCTGTAATTATTCTGATTGTATTAGGTCTGGGCCTTTCATATAAGCCCATTAGAGTCTCTATATATTGTAACTCTCTGAATTAGATCAATACACAACATATTATTTTATATTCAAGTTGGTATCAGAGCTCTTTCTGTAGAGTATTCTAGAGTCTTTTTTAGAGTCTAGTCTCTTTGATTAGTGTGATGCCTCTTCGTTTGTTGTGTACTTTTATTTATTTTTATTTATTACTTCAACTCCTTAACTACCTTGTAATCTGTATATATAGAACCCTTTGGGTGTCAATCAATATATGAAAAACATTTATGTCTTATATTTCATCATGGTATCAAGAGCAGGTTATCCTGTGGTCATCTTGTAAACCTCCACGTCTTTTTTTTCCTTTTTTTCTTTTCACTGTTCGTCTTCTATAACCCAGATCTCATATCTGGACCGCTCCAATCACGAAACCAAGGCCACCACTGGACTCAGAAGCCATTTCCGAGTCGACCCACGTCAGCCCCGTCGCCGGAAAGTCAGCCACGCGCCGCCACAGCAGAGCAGCCTCTCCGACGCGTGTGAGCCACGCGCCGCCCTGCCGGTCTCCGTTTGACACGCGGCTTTCACAAAACAGCTCGCCTGGCCTCCCTCTTCCTGTTCTGAGGGTTTAAATCACGATTGGAGCACTTTTTTTGCTGGGTCTTGTTGTTTCCTCTTCGTCAAGCTCGTCAAGCTTTGTTCTGAACGTTTTTTTTTTTTTTTTTTTTCTTTGAACAATGGAAGATGAAAATAATGAGGCTGAGAATAAGCATTATGACAAATCACCCGGTGGAGTTTCCGGTGTCTCTCCTCCTCCCTATTTTTCGTCTTCCGGAGACAACCCAGCTATACAGATTACAAACCACCGTTTAAACGGTAAGAATTATGTGCAATGGCATCAATCTGTCAAGCTGTTTATCCAAGCAAAAGGGAAAATGGGGTATCTTGATGGAAAAAAGGAAAAACCCGAAGCTGATGAACCTGATTATGATAAATGGATGACTGAAAATGCCTTGGTCATGACCTGGTTGACTAACTCCATGGATCCTGATATCAGTCAAACTTATTTGTTTCTTGATACGGCTCAGGAAATTTGGGATGCCGTTAAAGAATATTATTCTAACCTGGGCAATGCTTCTCAGGCTTTTGAACTCAACACCAAGGTAAGAGAGTTACATCAAGAGGGGATGTCTGTTACTGAATACTTTCTTGCTTTAAAAACTTTGTGGCAGGAGTTGGATCTTTATGATGCAGCAGATCTTCAAGGTTTAGAAGCTAATGCAAGGTTTAAGAGTTACTTAGAGAAAAGACGTCTCAATGATTTTCTTGCTGGCCTTAATCGTGATTTTGATGATGTTCGTGGTAGGATATTGGGTCAGAACCCATTACCTTCCATTGCAGCTGCTTTTTCTATGGTACGATGGGAGGAACTTCGCCGAAAGGTAATGTTGGGAGAAAAGAACTCTAAATCCTCCGATGTATCTGCCTTAGTAGCAAAACATAATCCTCGTCCCCCTAGTGATACAAAACGTTCTGACTGATGGTGTTCTCATTGCAATAAGAGTGGTCACACTCGCGAAAAATGTTGGGAAATTCATGGAAAACCACCAAACTGGAAAACAAAGGGGCTGAACAAGAGTCGTGCTTATCAAATCTCTTCTGATGATAAGGGTGAGGAGTCTCGTGCCTCTCCAAATTCCGAAGGTGTATTCATCCCTAAAGCTCAGTATGAGCAATTTCAGAAGGTGATGTCTCAATCTGCTGAGGCAACTAGCCATGTTGCTCAACAAGGTATGGCATTCCATGTTGATCGTAGTAGTCGTTGGATTCTTGATTCCGGAGTTTCTGATCATATGACAGGTAATGCAACCTTGTTCTGTTCTTATACCCCTTATTATCACCAGTCACGAATAAGGACTGCTGATGGTAGTTTCTCTAATATTGCGGGAAAGGGATCTATTAAGCTCTCTGAACATATTACTCTGAATTCTGTCCTTCATGTCCCTTCTCTTACTTGTAACCTTATTTCTATTAGTAAACTTTCCTCTGAATTGCATTGTGTTGCTAAATTCTCTGCCAAAACCTGTGTTTTTCAGGAACAGGATTCGAGGATGATGATTGGCAGTGCTAGAGAGGAAGAAGGGCTTTACTATTTTGAAGAAGATTCTCATGAAAAGAGATTTTTTGCAAATCACTCTTTATGTTTATCAGATGATTGTAATGATGTTTTGTTGTGGCATCGTCGTTTAGGACACCCAAATTTCTTTTATCTTCAAAAGTTGTTTCCAAACTTATTTATCAATAAAAAACCAAGTTCCCTTTGTTGTGATGATTGTCAATTTGCAAAACACTCTCGTGTTTCTTATTCCCCCAGAGATTATCATGTTTCGTCTCCATTTACATTGATTCATAGTGATATTTGGGGACCAGCTCGTGAAAAAAATATATCTGGAGCTCGTTGGTTTATTACCTTCATTGATGATCATTCCAGGGTATGCTGGGTATATCTTCTAAAGGATAAGTCTGAAGCTACAGCCACTTTTAAAAACTTTCATGCTATGGTACAAACTCAATTCCAGACTTCTATCCAAATCCTGCGAACTGACAACGGTACTGAATATTTCAATTCTGTTCTTGGTGATTACCTAACCAAGCAAGGTATTATCCATCAAAGTTTTTGTCCTAACACCCCTCAACAAAATGGGGTGGCTAAAAGAAAAAATAGGCATCTCATTGAAGTTGCTAGAGCCCTCTTGTTTACAATGCATGTCCCTAAATACCTGTGAGGGGAGGTTGTCTTGACTGCCTCATATCTCATCAATCGAATGCCCTCTCGTGTCCTGAATTTTCATTCTCCCATATCTTGCCTTACCCGCTCTTTTCCCTCCGTTCGGGCTCTATCTTACCTTCCTCCAAAATTGTTTGGCTGTGTGGTTTTTGTTCATATTCATCCACATCAAAGGTCCAAACTTGATCCTAAGTCTGTTAGATGTGTCTTCATAGGATATCCTCCTAATCAAAAAGGTTACAAGTGCTACTCACCTTCTCTTCGAAAGGTCTTTGTTTCTATGGATGTTACTTTTTATGAAACACAATCATTTTTTCCCTCGACTTCTCTTCAGGGGGAGTCTATTGGTGTAAATGAAGACATGTCTTGGATTCCAAATAATTCTACTGTCTTACCTTTACCCTTGGAAACATCTGTTGTTTCTCTACCTTTGGAGACAGGGGGAGTTAATGTACAGGAGACAAGGACAGCAACTGTACCAGAGACTGGAGATCCTCCCGGTAAATGGGGAAAATTCTACAGCAGGCATAAATCTCCTCAAGATCCTCTAGACTGCCAGGATTCTGACCCGAGTCCTAGTTCCAGCAATCCACTTGAGAACACTGGTACAGCTAACCTAGATATACCTATTGCCCTTCGAAAAGGTACTAGATCTTGCACTGCTCATCCTATTTCTCATCACATTTCATATGAAAAGTTATCTCCAGGTTTTCGTGCTTTCAACACTATATTAGACAGTACAAAAATACCAAAAAATATCCAAGAGGCACTTAATGACCCTAAATGGAGGGATGCAGTCTTTGAAGAAATGGATGCATTCAGAAAAAATGGAACTTGGGAGTCCGTGGCACTTCCCAGAGGAAAGAAAACTGTAGGTTGCAAATGGGTGTTCACAATAAAATTTAATGCAGATAACAGCATCAACAAATATAAGGCCAGATTGGTTGCCAAAGGATTTACTCAGACTTATGGGATAGACTATCAGGAGACGTTTGCTCCCGTTGCCAAACTTAACTCTATTCGAGTCCTACTGTCACTTGCTGCCAACCTTGATTGGCCCTTGCATCAATTGGACGTAAAGAATGCCTTCTTAAATGGGGACTTACATGAGGAAGTTTACATGGATCCACCACCTGGTTTTGAGGAGGGAGATGGTTCAGTATGCATGTTGAAGAAGTCTCTTTATGGACTTAAACAATCCCCTAGAGAGTGGTTTGACAAGTTTACTCGTGCTGTTAAAGGAAGAGGATTTATCCAAGCTCAGACTGATCACACTTTATTTTTCAAACACTCCGATAGTGGTAAAATTGCTATCCTCATTGTTTATGTTGATGACATAATTGTCACAGGTGATGACTGGGAGGAAATAAAATCTTTAAAGGGGGTTTAGCTAATCAGTTTGAACTGAAGGACCTTGGATCACTCAAATATTTCCTTGGAATGAAAGTTGCTCGTAGCAAGGCAGGAATCTTCTTATCTCAGAAGAAATATATCCTAGACCTGCTACAAGAAACAGGTATGCTTGGGTGCAAGCCTGCAGAAACTCCAGTTGAACCCAATATTAAATTGGGAATTGAAGATGGAGAAGATGTTGACAGGGAGCTGTACCAAAGGTTGGTAGGAAAGCTGATCTACTTATCTCACACTCGGCCTGATATTGCATTTGCAGTTAGCATGGTTAGCCAATTCATGCATTCTCCTAAGGAAAAACACCTTAGTGCGGTTTATAGAATCCTCAAGTACCTCAAAAACACCCTTGGTCGGGGAATGCTCTTTAAAAGAGGACACAAGAGGATGATAGAAATCTATACAGATGCTGATTGGGCTGGCTCTGCAATGGACCGAAGATCCACTTCAGGATATTGTACCTATGTTTGGGGAAATCTTGTGACCTGGAGAAGTAAGAAACAAACTGTTGTTGCCAGAAGCAGTGCAGAAGCAGAATTTCGGGCACTAGCCCATGGCATTTGTGAAGGAATCTGGTTAAGAAAACTCCTTGAAGAATTAAAGATATCTTATTCTCTACCTGTCAGACTCTATTGTGATAATAAGGCTGCTGTCAGTATTGCTCAAAATCCTGTTCATCATGATAGAACCAAACATGTGGAGGTTGATCGTCACTTTATCAAAGAAAAATTGGAGGAGGGTAGTGTATGTTTGTCATATATACCTACCAAGGAGCAAACAACCGACATTCTCACCAAAGGGTTACACAAACCCATCTTTGAGGATTTAATTAGCAAGTTGGGGATGATCAATATATATCTCCCAACTTGAGGGGGAGTGTAGAATATTCTAGAGTCTTTTTTAGAGTCTAGTCTCTTTGATTAGTGCGATGCCTCTTCGTTTGTTGTGTACTTTTATTTATTTTTATTTATTACTTCAACTCCTTAACTACCTTGTAATCTGTATATATAGAACCCTTTGGGTGTCAATCAATATATGAAAAACATTTCTGTCTTATATTTCATCACTTTCGTTCTGGGGACCCTCGCTTCTGCTTAGAAACCTTGTTTTTGCTTTAAAACCTAAGCCCACTGCTTAGGAGTCCTCTTTCTTGTCGTGCGTCCTTCCGGCAAGCCATCTAGGGCTGTAAACAGCCTCTGAGTAATTTTTCCAAACACGTCAGCACCTCCGAGGCCACCGGAACCACCGCCCGCCACCAGAATCATTGTTCAGGCCACCGGAGACTTTTTCCGGCGACTTTTCCGACCAAACTTCACGCGATCAGGACCGTCTCTTCCCCGCGACCAGGTCTGTGGAGGTCCAGTCAGCAACGCACCTCTCAACACTCAAGCAAAAAACACAAGAAATGCCAGAAGCAAGGTTGCCATCAATATACCAGAGGTCAAGATTTTTTGACTGGAATTCTAAAATAGTATTATATGGAAAGTAATTACATTTTCATCGATGTAGTAGGAGGGAAATGATAGAGTGTTGTTCTTCCCTTCAATGGACCAGTCATCATCTCTGCAATCATGAAGGAAAACAGCTAAAAGATTACATAAAAAAAATTTCAGCAGGAACATGATAAAACTGTAAAGCATTTAATCAAAATTGAGCAATAAAACTGTAAAGTATTTACTCAAAATTGAGAGATAAAACTGTAAAATATCTACTTAAAATTGATCATAGTGATGCATGGCTAGAACTATACAAAATTTATGACTTTCAACTTGAACAACAACCCTGAAAATCCCAAACTTAATGTATGTCGATACAAACAAACAAAGAAAATAAGGCTGTTAACCATACAAACATAATGGAGGGACACTTGCCTGAAGTATGAGTCATCTTCAACTTTATTGCTTCCAATGGTATCGTATACCTTCACGATCATGAGATTTACATGTTTAGCAATGCACCAAATTTTAATAGTATTTTCAAGATATTAGATGTATTAATAACAAAATTTTCATAATAATATTAATCAAAACAACAAAGTGCATGGTCCAGAACAGAATAAATAAGGTGAGCAAATTCAATTATAACCTGAAAAGTTATACAAAAGCAATGAACATAAAGCAGCATTCCGCAATTTTATATCACTCACTGGAACACATGTGATCAACTGAAACTCATTCTGGCAAAGTGGGCAGAGATTAGTGATGGTAGCCCAGTTGTCAATGCATACAAAGCAGAACCTGTGAAACGAATGAATCAAGCTCAAAATATCAGATTAATTTCAACATAGATACTGAAAAATGAAGGGGAAAAATCAACATGTAATGGGAAAAGCACAACCACAGGGATGTAAGCAATTTAAATAGTTCAACCAACAGCACCTATGTGCATACAACATCAACATCAACAACAGTGGCAGAGCCACGTTAGGTGGGGGGGCCTTGGCCCGAGCTAAAATTCGAAAATTAGCCACGTTGAAAATGTGGCTACATAACCTTCTACATTTTAATGTTTGGCACCAACTAATTTTCCTGGGCCCTAGCTGGCTTGGGAGGCTGGCTCCGCCACTAATCAACAACACCTTTATCTCAAACTAGTTAGGGTCGATGGCAATGAACCCAAATGGAGAGTACGAAAAGATTAAGGAAAAAAGGTAGAAATTAAATAAATAAAAAACAATAAACAATTAAAAAGAAAAAAGAAAACAAAATGAAGTGACAATAAAGATAAATAAGAGAAAAATACAAAAGAGAAAAAAGAAAAGAAATAAAAAGCAAAAATAAAAAAATAAGAGGAAATAAAAAAAAAAATAAGAGAAGAAGATTAGAGATGAAAAAAAAAGGAGAGGTAAAGAAAGAGAGAAAGAAAGATATAGGGGAAAAGGACTAAGAAGGAACCATTAGTAACAAACTTTTATTCTTATGGGAGCATCTAGGGGTCTTCGAATATGTGCCCAAACCACCTCAATCTATATTCTCTTATATTTTCAACCGCCGGTATTACTCATATCTTTCGTCGAATATCTTCATTTCTTATCTTATCTATCCTTATATGACCACACATCCACCGCTAATCACCTATATCCATAGTTCCACAAAAATAACCAACAATTCAAATTGGCAAAAACAAAACTAAACCTCTCAAAACTTCCTCGCATATACCCTATAATACACCCAAATCTACCACAAATAAATTATGTCAAATACCAGCACCACATTTTACTTGGGCTGTTACATCGACATATACTGCAGGGAGCAGTCCACCATGCACCCCACAGATCACCTTTGTTCTTCGCCATTGTTAGCAACCTCTTCACTCTCTGGAAGCACACACAGGAATACCTTTACTCTCTCCGTTATGCTGCACAACTACCCACTTTATTTTGTTCTTGTGTAGAATGGCAGGGGCACTAGGACCCCCAAAGTCCAGACATGTTCAAGGGTCATGTGCCCATTCATATCCCATCCTTTTACTTATACACTTCATAAGCAATATCTTCTTTTTCCTTTTTTCCTTCTTTACATAAAAATTTATCCACCTAGTGGGAAAAGGCTTTTGTTGTTATTGTTGTAACAAAAAATTTGTTTGGGCTCCACAATTCGATCAAAACCAAGTCCAACAACGACTTGCACCCCCACTTATTGTCTTTTACTCTTACACAAATAGATTTTGCCAGCACATTTCATCATTTCATTTTTCTTCACCATGTGCAATGAATAACGAAACTCAAGCCTATTATTTCTGCGGATGATATGTAAGGCACAATCCATAAAGCGAAATGACACCTCCCAAACAAGAAGATCAAGATGGCAATTTAAAAGAAAGAAAGCATGTATTTTAAGCCTTCAAGACGAAAGGAAGAAAATACATACCAGTGCTGACAGCAATCCAAAACTCCCCTGTCAACAACAATATCCATGCATATTCCACATCTTTCCCCTTCAGTTGCTAAATTATCCTGTTAGTTACCAAATATTAAGTGTTCAGCACTGGTGACAATTAAAATTACAAGCTGGCATGAAATAATCCAAAATTCCAAAGCCTAAGTCATTATTTGAGCAAGCCATAAACATCACTGTTTTTTTTTTTTTAATATTCTTGAGTAACATCGGTGAAGCTAATAGAATTCAGAGCATGCTCATATGAAAATTACATAAAAATAAGCGTAAGGGAGGGTTTAAGTAGCATTCCACGTCCAAAGTGAAAAGTACAAGTTCCACGCCTAATATCTACTCTGTAAAAGAGAGCGATGAGCTTACATTATCGTTAGCATCAAAGGGATCCTGTGTGAGCGTGAGCATGTCATTCGCCTCGAAATCCCCTTCCATTGAGTAGTAATTCGAAGCCAGAATTTAATTTTACACGATATACTGTGAAGTCTTCAATTCGAGAAACGGCCACGAGATTTCGGAACCAATTCTTATCGTAATTCAATTTGTGAAAGCTGGAAGGATTTTGATGAAACAAGAAATGCAACAGAGACACCGAAATTGGAAGGGCAGAGCAGAAAACTGAAAAAGGAATGCGATGAGGACAATCAGATATTAAAGTAGTGCATTTTAATTTATTAAATGATTAATTAATTATTAATTAACTGTTTGTAAAATTTAAAAAAAAAATGTAAATGGAATTGGGGGAAGAGAAACCGCGGTTTCTAATTTCTATTTGGGTAAGGCCCACGTTCGATTCAACCGGCCTGGCTCCGAAAAGTTTCGCGCTGAAAAACGCCGTCTAAATCTGACAGTATCGATGAAGTAAACAAAACTGCGTTGCCGTTAACTCCACGTGAGTGACATGAGCATTGTACACGCAAAGGCATAGAGGATGTTTTCCATTCTTGGGCCATTCAACAAGTTAGGTTTAGTTCACCTCAGGCCCAACCATTGGCCTAATGCATTGGTTTTTTTTCGTTCAAATATAAATCGCTGCAAATGAAAGTTTGTTATCCAGACCCAATTCGTTCATAATAAATTAAAGGGGCGTCTGGTTCAGGAAATTTTTTTGGAATAGTAAGGAAATGAGATAGATAGAGAAATGATTGAAAAGATAGATAAAGTGAGATAGGTAGAAAAATATAAAAAAAAGTTGTTTGGTGGGGAAAAACTTTACTGGAAAAATTAGGTAACTTTATGAAATCAACAGTGCATTAAAAGCCAGATAATCGGTTTTTCAAAAAATCTCACCTTCAAATTGGGTTTCTAAACAGTGCGGATATCTATGTTTCTCATAAATCCAGACAAATTGGATAGATGGGTTTTTGGTGAAAAACGTTGAAACAAACATGGTATTTCTAAAAGCCATACTTAAGAAAGATAGATATCCACTGAAAAGATCCCAACCAAACACCACCTAAGGGAAATATTAATCTCATGTCACATGAGACAACAACTTTCTCTTATACACTCAAAAAGGTACGAGTCTCACTTTAATTTTTTTCCTCTTTTTTCATGCAATAGGATCCACATAAAATTGTGAGTGCAACATGAGATAACATATCTCATGTTGCATAAAAAAATATAATCCCATAAATTAATGGGTTTCTCTTTTCTTATTTTATATGAGATAACATCTCTCATGCTATAGACACAACAAGTGATAGGTCCCATCATGAGAAAGCACAAATTCTGATGTCTCATAACACGAGGAAGCAATCTCCAACAACATGAGAAAATGATTTTTCTAAATTAATTTAGGTTTACGAAATATTACCTTTTTATGGGCCTTGTGGGTTTGGACCTTTTTCTCATGGATTTTAGACTTTGACGAACCTATCATATTTTATCCAGATCAGCAAGTATTTGATTGTTGCACGTACAGCAGCTGCAGAAATGTAAACCCCTATATATATATGAGGTGTGATCCTTTGACACCAGTGTCAAATTTAAAATTTGACACCTCATCTGAGAGTCGTTAGATAAAAAAAGATCAACGACTCTGATTTGTAAGCATGTGATGCCATTGATCTTTTTTGATCTAACAACTCTCAGATGATGTGTCAAACTTCAAATTTGACACTGGTGTCAAATGATCCTACCTCTATATACATATATATATATTACATACTTTAATCAAATGAAAATTATTTTTACGACTGAGGAATATTAAAATGTATTTAAATAAATTTATATGATATAAAATATAACACGTTTATAAAATTATAAATGTCGTGTCTGTTGTTAAACTTAAATATCTTGTCCTACTGTTTGATTATAAATATATTATTATATTATTATATTAATTTATTATTTAATGTTTTATAAAATAAAAACAAAGTACCAATACGATGTTTAGAAACATGGGCCATGTGGGGGTTTTCACTTGAGATGGTTTGGTCACTAGTATATATAGGACAAATAAAAATGATTTTTTATTTTTAAAAATATATATAAAAGAAAGGTAGTAGTGGGAAGTTTTTGCTATAATGTTATGATTGATTCTCATTGGTTAGCTTTGTAGCTTGCTACCAACTGCCCTTGTTATTATATCAAGTCAACGTTCCATTTCACACAAATATTAATTGTAAATTCAACGAAATTCTCGGTAAAGCTAGCTATAGAGTGACGTCCAAGATCATAAACAACATATATAAAAATTAAACGCCGAAAGAAAATGGACGCAGTCAATTGGGAGGAAGAACGAGGACCCAATCAGCTGTCCATGTTTCAAGGACGTTGAATGAACCTGTGAATATTTCTGAACCTTCGAAGGACACAGTACCATCGTCTTCTGGTTTATGTAAGTAGCGTAAAATTAAAACTCCATGTTTTATTATTCTCGTCGCTAAACTATATAAGACAATCTATTTCTTCAATACCTGAGGACGGTTATAACTAATACCGGGATCATCGTACCATATCATATCATAATCATATCAAAGCGTCAATACTAATTTTTTTTCCCCTTGTTTCTTTTTATCATCTCCTTCTTTAGCATGCATAAATAACAAAGGAAGAACATTTGAAAGATAAGGCAGTCTTTTTCTTCTTCTTCTTCTTCTTCTAAGGGATTGAGGTTTCTCACCTCTGTAAGTATCACTTTGTCACTGAAGTCAAATGGTCAAAAACTGCCAAATTTTAGATTTTCCTCTTTTCTTTTCTTGGTTGCTGTTTCTAAATTTGGTTCTGAAAGATTAGCCTTACATTCTGATTTTGCTTATTTATATCCGAAAAGAGTATGGCATCGGAGACTCACTTTTATGACTTGTATTCTGTGATGGTTACATAGAAACCAACGATTATCTAAAGGGGCAAAAAACATGGCCGGAGATATATAAAATATGAAAAAAAAGTGTGTGTCATTTTATAGATATAAAGAGATGAAACTCACGCCTTTTATTTTTATTTGTTTTTTTAGTGAGACCCGTACCTCTTTGTGTCTATGAAATGACATAACTTATGTCATTTAAAATAACGTATATTTTTTCTCATACAAAATTGTTTTCGAATGTTTGAATATCCTTAGCAAGCATTAATTTTGAACTTATGCATATTACTCTTTGGTGTGGCAGGTTCTCTCTAACGGTATTTGTGTTAGATATGGTTATGTCATGTAGTCTTTAATCTGACATTATGCCCATTTCTATGAGCTGTTTTTGCTTGCCGAAAGCTAGACCAAAGGCTAAGCAAGAACAATCCTTCATTCTTGCTTCGGAGACATCCTGTAAGTTAAAATTCAACGTTTACCCTCTCTATTATTTTGAACTCGTATTAAATCCTACTTCTTCCAATTTTCATGAAATGTCCCGTGTTATCAATCAAGTTGCTGCCTTTATCTTGTTGTAGTTTTTGGCATACCACTTGTCATTTGTTGGGGCGGGAAATTTCATGATCATTCTTAGTCAAATTCGGTTTGGATCCTCTCATGTTTGAAAGTATTCATGTAGTCATATTGTTTGATCACAGTCACTTATTGATGAGTATGATTTTTAAGTAAGTGGTTGTATCAAACAACATGATCGCATGATCACAACTCTAAACATGAGAGAATCCAAATCCGCCAAATTCTCAAGGGAGAAAAAAAAAACTCGTTAGGTTTACTCTTTCTAGCTCCAATATCTCACACAACATCTTTAACTGAAAATTTTAAAATATTAAATTTTTGGGTCTTCAACTTATATAATTCTCACTTTGTTCATTCTTTATCAAAGTGGAATTTTACCATTTACATTTAATTTCCCAAGACAGATAATAATTTTTGTCAAATGTGTACTGCACACTGTAGGGCTATACATGTGAGATTTCTTGTAGTTTTAATTTAACTCTGAAATGTCCTTTTACCATTTGACAGTTACTGTAAATGAGGTTGAGGCTTTGATGAACCTTTTTAAGAAACTAAGCAGTGCAATTATTGATGATGGCTTCATTCACAAGGTATTTCCATTTAAGTTAGTAGTAGTACTAGAGAGTCCAAAAATTTTCATCATTAAATGAGCTGATATCACCTTTCTTTCACATTACCATGAGCCGTTTATATTACTGAATGTCATCACAATTTAGTATCAATTTGATAAAATGTAAGTTGTTTTTTGCAATAAGTGCTATATTCTTCAAGATTTTTATCTGCAGGAGGAGTTCCAGCTTGCACTTTTTAGAAATAGTAGCAGACAGGATCTATTTGCAGACAGGGTGTGTACTCAAGTACTAAAAAATATTTTTTCTCTCGTATTAAGTGGATGAAAAGTTATACTAAATGTAATAATGGATAAAAAGATCAACAAGTTTTTGAAATGTTCACCAAAGATCTGAAACGTTAATTTGTGTGTAAAGTAAAATGCTGGGCATTTTGAATCACATGACTCCAGAACTTGACTAAAATTCATGGTAAACATGTTACAATTTTTAAAGTGGATTTTTATTTTTTATTTTTTGGTAAACTTTTGCACACATCTCTTTTTAATATGCATGAAGATGTTGCATCCTGTGAAAACTGCTTGCAGGTTTTTGACATGTTTGATATTAAGCGTAATGGAGTAATTGACTTTGGGGAATTTGTTCGCTCACTGAGCATTTTTCATCCAAATGCATCTGAAGAGAAGAAAATTGAATGTATGGAAATTATTTGTGTTTATCAGAGAAATCAAACGTTCTTTCACTTCGAGTTTTTGGTCATATGACATTATATATAAATTGAGGTTGATGAAAACTTGACTGTGCCAAAATTATTCTCACAGTTGCATTTCGATTGTTTGACCTTCGGAAGACCGGATTCATTGAGCATTACGAGGTGAGTACCCTCAAAAGCTTTCTATTATCCTTCATTTTTCTCTTTAGGATTACAGGAAATGCAGTTTTGACATTTACAATTGTTTTTGTGTGAGTGCTTCCTATGTATGCATCTTTAGCAGTTATAGCCACCTTTATGCATCTTACGCTTCCTTTTTGTGCATGAATGATACACCTGAAGTTAAAGGAAATGGTCTTGGCTACTCTTACTGATTCAGATGTTACACTTCCAGATGATGTCATTGAATCAATTGTGGAAAAGGTTCTTCACCATGCTACCATACATTTGTCCTTCTTTAATTTCCTCAATCTAATTCTTATCTCTTATTTTATTGGCTTAATATTTTTCAGACAATGAAGGAGGTTGACTTAAAAGGAGATGGGAAGATTGATGGCGAAGAGTGGAGAGAGTATGTGGCAAAAAATCCTTCTCTTCTGAAGATTATGACCCTACCATATCTAAAGTGGGTTTCTGTTCTAATCAATGAATCTTATTCTTTATCTCGTCTTATGCTAGGTCATCTATTATAGACCCATTACTTTTCTTCTACTAATTCAAATATATTTACATAATGAAACTTAAATGGTTCTGTTTATCAGGGATATAACCCTGGCATTTCCCAGCTTTATTTTGCACACTGAGGTGGAAGACTAGCTACAAATAATTGGCAACCAATGCACCACAAGGATTGCAGATGTAGTAGAACAGAATTACTCACCGAATACATTGTATAATGTGTTGAAAGCACCATTAACCAGTTTAGTGTATAGGTTGTCTGCCTGATAAGAATGAATAAACCGAAAGTGTGCATGTACTGAACATTGTATATTTATATGCACAATTCCTATCAATAATAGATGTGATGAAAATTCAAGTGTAAGCAATAAACTTTCGTATGGGAAAAAAGTGGGTTAATCATGAAATATATAAGTAAAATGATTCATGAACCTAAATGAAGTATAACAAACATCACAAAGAGATAATCCTTCAGAAAGTGTAGGAAATAACATAACTTTGAAAAGTGTATAGCAAAATATAAGTCGTTGGTTAATCGGGCTAACCGTGCGTGGTATCTAGGTTGCCAGCTCCTAAACCCTCGTGGACCAATGGGCAGTTAAATCTGTAAAAGAAACAATAAGAAACCATCATAAAGTCTCGTGTTCAAGCCCAACCCAAAGGAACAGATAGTATCCGGTTCAATTACTATGCATATAATAATTAAATTAATAAACTCGACGTTGCCGATAATTAAATTAATAAACTCGTCGTTGCCGGTGAGAGGTTGTACTTTTTGTCTTTATTTTATTTTCAACCCAAAATTGATCAGCTATGTTGTATTTACTTTCAAACCCAAAAGCAAGAAAGTCTTTATACAATTGTCATGCGATTTACCACCAAATTTTTTTTATCATTCTTATAATCAATTTAATCATAGTTGATTTTTATTAATTTAACAATTAAAATTTATTGGATCACACTAATTAATTAATTATTAATTATCAATAAATTATAACCGTTAAATTGACGGAAGTCAACAATGATTAAATTGGTTGTAAGAATAATAAATTTTTTTGAGGATAAGTGGATCCCTCCCCATTGCTTTGTTAACCAAAATTGTTTGTAAAACTGTAAAAAAAAAAAAATTGTCTGTAAAACAATATTCTATCTAGCACATTATTATTTTATGCATTTTCTAATGCATATTTCATATCAAAAGTCTATGTTTAATTTCACGATTATATATGATTTTATTGACATTATTCCTTATAAATAATACTTTATTTAAAAAAAAATAAGTATTTACTTGTAAGGACAAAATTCTTTAGAGTAAATATCATTTTTGATCCTTAGCAAATTTCACGATACCCGCTTTAGTCTCTAGCAAAAAAAAAAACTATTCGTGGTCTCTAAGAAATTCAAAATGGATCCATTTAGTTGAAATTGTGGTACCTCATAAATTCAAAAAGACCCCTCAAAAGGACTAAAATGGGACCACTTTGAATTTCTTATGGACCACGAATTTCTTTTTTATTTGCTAGGGACTAAAGAAGACATTGTAAAATTGATTGAGAACCGAAAATAATATTTACTCACTTCTTTATTATGCCATTATATAATAAGGGAAAAACATCTATCATTTTAAAGGATATAACTTTATATCCTTTTAGATCCTAAACGTTGATTTCCGTCCATCAACGGTTATAATCTATTGGGCCAAATTTATTATTAATTAATTAATAATTTTAATCTAATAAATTATAACTGTTGATGGACGGAAATCAACGGTTAGGATCTAAAAGGATATAAGTTTATATCCTTTAAAAACAGTGTTTTAAAACCCCGCCCCACCCCCAGGTTGACCCGGGTCAACCCTGACCCCTCCCCTCTGAGGGTTGGGGTCACAAGTTGGACCCTATATGCATATTGACTCCTCCGACCCCCAAAACCCGGCCGGGTTTCAGTGACTCCCGGGGTCAGAGGGGTCATTGCATGTTTTTTTTTTTTTTAAATTCCATGAAACAACATTGTTTTATTAAAAAAATAAATAAAAATGCTTGCAAACCTAAATCTAATTGTTCTATTCTCTCCTAGTGACCTAAATGTTTTCAATCTTCACCTCACTGCAGTGAATCTTCTAGAAAAGGTAAGAATTTTACCCCTTCAAATGAAATCTTTACGGGTTGTCGATGGAAAACAAAAATTCATTCTTACTTCCTTTAAATTTTTCTTTGTCAGAGACCTTCTCAAAAGAGGCAGAACCGGGTCAGTGTAGTGACCTCGTTAGAATATGAGTTTTGTACTTTGGTATCTTGATACTTTAATTAGGTTGTATAATATTGACTTGTGGTTATAATTGGTGAATTATGTTAAGTATATTTTGAATCTTTGATGATTGGTGATTTATTTTTTAATATTTTCATATAGGATATATCTATTTATATTTTTTTAATATATAAAATCGGGTCAGCGTAGTGACCCCCTGACCCCTGACTTCAGCCGGGTCGATGGCCGGGCCGGGTTTTTAAACAATGTTTAAAAGGATAAATGTTATTTCCAATATAATAAATAATTATTTATGGTTAAAAAAAGTGAAAAACATTATCCAGTTAACACGTGTGTCATTGCCCCACCGACCATAACGGTAACAAACAGTGACTGACGGGAAATTAAAAGTGTTAAATAAAAAGTACTGTAGCAGAGAAAGTTCTTGCAGATTTCGACAACTTTTTTTTTCTTTTGGTGCTGGGCGGTGCACTTTTTTAAGACGAAATTATAATCATTCTTAGACTTAGACTATGAAAAAGATTCTGTAAAATCCACAATTTTTTCTGGATTTTTAAATTATTTTTAAAAAATGCTAAGACAGTTAAATAAATCTTTAAAAAGGTTAAAATATATTAAAAATAGTTTTAATATTTTTTATGCAAAAAATATTTGTCCTCTTGAAGCACAGTTATTTTAATTAAAATTATTATTTTTTATTTCATATTTAAAGAAATTTTTTTTGCTCTTGTAGAAAGAATTTTTTTACCACATTCATATAAAAAGAAAGTGAATTACACTAATATAATAAAAAAGGTTAAAAACAAAATTTTGACTTTGTTTTTTTACTTACAAAAGGACCAACACAAATATAATATTTTATGGGTAAAGAGATAAATTATTTTCAGTGACTTCAAAACGATGTCATTTTTGGCAAAAATTAATATATTTTTATAATTCTAATTTATTGCATGATTATATTAGTTTTTATTATTATAATATTTTAATTTTATAATTTAAAATGATGCTATTTTGTGCTCACTAGAGATAATTTTATCTTCATTGACTGGAGAAATACTTTTTCTATATTTTTTATGTCAAAAAAAGTAATTTCAAAAAAAAAAAAAAAACATAAGAAGTATATCATAAATTTTCATTTTAAGCTTATTCAAACGCGCTCTTTATTATTTACATGTGGAACTTGAATCGATTTCAAAATTTATGTAAAAAAATATGATTTGAAAGCGTTGAGAGAGATCTCACCTTTAGGGGGTGTTTGCTATGTAAAACTTTCGTTGAAATGCTGAAAAAGTGGGATGGAAAATTTGTTTCCTCATATTTGATATAAGTAAAAGTGAAAATAATTTCAAGATATTTTTTTTCCTATTATTTTATTTTTTAACTACATATTTCCAAAAAATAATATCATCTCACCTATGGTAGTTAAAATTTCGATTTTACGATTTTTTTAATCAAAACAATTTCATCAAAATTCCAAACGCTTTTACGTTTTTACGATTTTTTTTACGTTAGGATTTTATGTTTTACGATTTTTTATCCTCTTCTGATTTTAGGTAAAATCTCGATTTTAACTACTATGATGTCACTCATGGTATTATTTTTTTCCCACCGACTAAAAAATGCATCACAACATTGAGACAAAAATGTCCTTGTAAAATGAACGTTTGATGAATGACAAGAGATTTAATATTCAAAATGATTGGTAATTTTGTCATTTTGATTCAGATTCAAATAAATATTTTACATTCCTGAAAAAATTTGACCTACCAAATACCTTTTCGTAAGTTACCAAAAAAAAAATCCAACTATATTCCCAAAAATAATTTTTTCCGCTAAAAAAAATATCTCATCTACAAGTACCCCGGTAGCATCTCACCATATTCCAAAAGATCGATCTCTGAATATATTGTAGTATAAAAACTCCCTTAATCAATTTTCATAACAAATATGAGCTTTGCTCCTTCACCAGCAATTACTTATATATTTAGCATAAAAAAATAAAGATGATTGAGATATGTGGCATGCATATAAGGACTTTGCAGTAGCCAATATTGATATACGAGGAATGGGCCAGGGCCCAGGGAGTACGTGAAGGAGGGTCATGTCACTGGAAAGAACAAATATAAAAATAAATAAAGTTGAAGTATATTGGGGAAATGAAATCCATCCACCTTTTATTCCAATTTCCATTACTAGAATGCATTATCAGTCACATTGTAGATCTCAAAGTCATGAGACACTCAATCCCGTATTCCCAGTGCTGATCTTTCTAAACTTTAGTTTGCTTATTTCAAAAGCTAAAATACATTGAAAATTTAGCAAGCGAAGGCATGATAAAGGCGAGTTTTTACCTTTTGACTAGTGCTTTAGTGGATCTGACTGAAGGTATACTAAAGCCAAACCCGTCACAAACGCTGATGGGTCGAGGCTCAGCATTAATCTTTGTTAAAATCGCTAGTCTACATGCCATGTACCGGAGTTAATTTACTATTATTTATTTTTGATCAACGGTACTTTCGCCGGCATTGTCCTAACAGATGGACAAATTGTTAGGCGCTGCTACTGTCTTATCTCTACACTGACGGAAGTTGTCCATAGTTAGTCTGTGTAATTAATAACACAATTTTTGTAATATATTACGAGATAAGATTGACAGATAACATTTTAGATTTTATAACTTTGTTGAAATAAATATAAATAGATTCTTATTATTATTATTATTGTTAATAATACTAAGAAGAGAAACATTACAAGTTTTAGGATATAAGATATAAAAACAATGTTCCCGTTATAGGAGTGGGGGTCAAACTTTTATAAAAAGCCAACGGCTAGAATAGCGTTCTCTGCAGCATTACAAGTTTATCGGAACAGAAAAAATCGGCCCCTCGCAGGTAACGGATGACATCAATATCGGAATATGCTACAATCCGAATCGTCTTAATTAATCGGCAATTCATCGCCATCTCTGCAACCACCCTTTCCATTTAAGCTATTGTCCCTCCCACATTTCCCTTTGGTTCTTTCCATTCGGTAAGAATCCGCTCTCGCTTGCATCCATTCTTTCTACGCTTCTTTCGAGAGATTATTGCTAACAACAACATTTTCAGACCCTAAATCTCCACAGATTCTTCATTTCATCAATTCCTACAATACAATCTATACCACAAACAATTCCTTTCTGGGTATTTCAGCTTCGATTCAAAATCATTTCTTTTTCTTTTTCTTTTTTTGGGGTCTTTTTAATCACTTTGATTGAAAGACTTTCTGATTACTTGTTTATGGATTTCTTCTTGTAACATTGATTCAAATAAGGTAGCAAATAGGGGGTCATTTTGTTACCCAAAAGAAAAAAATAAAAATTAGTGATTGGAGTTTGAAAGATGTCAGTTGCTGATTTTGCTTTGAGTTCGATTTGCAAAGAAGCGGTATATTGGGAAAGCAAACCGGGACATTGTTCTGGTGAGCCAATCCTGATTTACCTTACTGTGGACGGTGCTGTGACCCCAATGCGTGTGTTGGAATCCGATTCCATTGCTTCGGTGAAACTGAGGATTCAGCAATGCAAAGGTTTTGTGGTGAAGAAGCAGAAACTGGTTTTTAGTGGCAGAGAGCTGGCTCGCAATGATTCGCTCATCAAGGAATATGGTGTCACTGATGGCAATGTTCTTCATTTGGTTCTTCGCCTTTCTGATCTTTTGTTCGTTGTTGTGAGGACCACTTGTGGGAAGGAATTTGAATTCCATATTGATCGGCATAGAAATGTGGGGTATCTTAAGCAACGCGTTAAAAAGAAGGGGGAAGGTTTCGTTGATCTTGAGGATCAAGAGCTTTTCTGCAATGATGAGAAGCTTGATGACCAGAGACTCTTCCATGACATATGTAAGAGTGATGATGATGTGATTCATTTGTTAATTAAAAAATCAGCTAAGGTTAGGACTACACCCATTCACAAAGATTTGAAGCTTTCGGTTGAGGCATCTATACCAGGTGAGACTACAGATCAAAGAGTACAAGTAGGAGAGAATAGGACCAAGCAATTTCAGATAGCAAAGATACCACCTGGTTTAGGTTTCTGGTTGGAACCAATAATTGTGAATCCTAAGATCAATTTTTTTCCTTTCCTTTGGGACATGATCAACTCCACATTTGAGGGTTTGAAGAAAGGAAATAGTCCCATTAGGTCCTCAGAGGGCACAGGAGGGACCTACTTCTTGCAAGATTCAACAGGTCACGAGCATGTTTCAGTTTTCAAGCCCATGGATGAGGAACCAATGGCTGTGAACAACCCACGAGATTTACCAAGTTCATCCAATGGTGAAGGTTTAAAAAGAGGGACAAAGGTTGGAGAAGGAGCTTTGAGGGAAGTTGCAGCTTACATACTAGATCATCCAAGAAGTGGACCACGTTTGGTATCAGGTGAAGTAATAGGCTTTTCTGGTGTTCCCCCAACTGTTATGGTGCAGTGTTTACACGAAGAATTTAACCACCCAAATGGGTATGCTTGCACATCAAAACATGTTAAGATCGGTTCATTACAGAAGTTCATCAATAATGAAGGTAATTGTGAGGACATTGGACCTGCGGCATTTCCAGTGGAAGATGTGCATAAGATTACTGTGCTTGATATAAGAATGGCTAATGCAGACAGGCATGCTGGGAATATATTGATAAGAAAGGAGGCAAGTGGCCAGATTAAGCTCATTCCTATTGATCATGGCTATTGTCTACCAGATAAAGTAAGCATCTCTTGTTCTTCTATCCTCACGTCCCTTTTTTTTCTTACAATTTCATTTTTTACTACATTCTCGTTCTTGTTATGCATATTTGTTTTCCTTTTGTTTGTTTACAAAGAAAATATTTTGCTGTTGCTGACTTGTTAATTCATACAAAATAGTGAAGATGGGTGAAGTTGTATTGCAAGTTGCAACTCAATTTTTCTGTGGAGGCAATATATGTAAGAGTAATTGATGTATATAGTTGGTAGATGGACTCTTCATAGGTGCTTGGAATTTGGGGGTTGTGTTCATACATAGTAATCCATTTCCTGCTAAAAATTAAGATTCTTCTTATTGATTGAATATAGACTCACGTTATTATTCTCTATGCAGTTTGAAGATTGCACATTTGATTGGCTTTACTGGCCACAAGCACGTCAACCTTACTCTCCTGAGACAGTTGATTATATTAAATCTCTGGATGCTGAAAAAGACATTGAACTCTTGAAACATTATGGATGGGATATTCCACTTCAGGTTGCTCGAACACTTCGAATTTCAACAATGTTGCTGAAGAAAGGGGTTGAGAGAGGTCTTACTCCCTATGCAATTGGAAGCATTATGTGCCGGGAAAATTTGAACAAGGAATCTGTAATTGAGGAGATTATTTGTGAAGCCCAAGATTCCATGCTTCCTGGCATGGAGGAATCAACATTTCTTGAATCCATCTCGCAAATCATGGATTCCCACCTTGATAAGCTTGCAAAATAGACTTTTTCTACCTGATTTATAGGTATATTTGTGTGTATTCGGTGAATGACTAGTCCATTTTTGGATGGACTGCAGGTTGTGCATAAAATGTGATGGCTTGATGTGTTCTGCTGGGCATAAGGCCTGAAGCTCTTCTTTATTTCTAGCTTCTCTGAACTGTTTTTTAACAGGATTGTATTGCCATGTTGAACAGAGATTGAAGGTCTGAATAACATGTATTATATTTAAGGTTTCATGTATCGTAGGATTGTATGAGGCTTAGCGAAGGAGCTGGATCTGTCATGTGTACATAATAAATGTAATATATTTTGTTTTCACCCCCAAAGAAAAAAAAAATTGTAGTATGTTAGCCGGATCCTAGTGGAGCATGCATACATATAAAAAATGAACAAGTAAAAATATTGAATTCTTGTTATCAAAAAAAAAAAAAAAATATTGAATTCTTATTTTCGCATAGCACTCCTTGGACACCCGAAATTTTTAGGTAAATATTACTTATTATATGTATCTTATTGAACCCAGAAACATTTGATATGTATAAGAATAATTTTTAGAGATAAATATATTTTTAACTTAATTTCTATAACTTTATAATGAATGTAATATCTATTTAAAAGTGTATTCTTTTAACATTTCGATTTTGGACGAAAATCAATATAAAAAACGACATTGTACTCGATTCCCCTTGAATTATTTTGCTAGTGCTCAATTGTCAAACCAACTCTCTGACACTCCAAAGTCCATGTTCCGAGTGTTAGGAACATGGATGATGTTGGGGCCGCGCAATGTCAAAAGTTGATCATATTAAAATCTAAAGTCGTATTCAAGTACTAACCATTTATAACAATATAAATCTATTTGTAATATTACATTATTGAAATATAATATATTATACTAACCATTAAAATGGTTTGATTTAGCGACTAAAGATGTAACGAAATGGCTGTACTTGTACATCAGTACAAACAAAAAGGGACCACCGCTATCACTCCACACACACAGTCCCCAAGTCCCACTCATAAGACAGTGGAAAATCAAGAAAGGGTCCACTTCAAGAAAAAAATCTAGTCTAAGCAAATAAAAACATACTGTTAAGTATACTTACTTTTATATTTTATAATAAATAAAAAATTATCTTTATTTATTTAATAAAAAAATGTAACAACAGTAATGTGCAAATAACAACGCAAAATACAAAATTGAAAAGTGAAAACAAGGTCGTATATGGTCCTACACCCATCTTTGTGTTCATACAGTGGTGTATGCAATCTCTTTCTTTTGTTTCACCATGTGGGGTTTGGTTTCTACCTCATCCTTATATTATTTGCATCCACATCCACATTCACATTCACATACACATCCTGGTCTCAACATTAACACATCGGATTCACTCCCACTCCGCCACCGCAGCCCATGGCGGATGGACCTATAATCACCGTCACCACCACCACCAAGCAAAAGAGGCCACGGCCACCGTCTGGACGCACTAACCTGGCTTCCTGCGTGGTGGCCACTATCTTCTTAATCTTCATCGTTATCGTCATATTTATAATCTACTTCACAGTGTTCAAGCCACAGGACCCCAAGATCGCCGTCAGCGCCGTTCAGCTTCCGTCATTCTCCGTCGCTAATGGCACCGTCAACTTCACCTTCGCCCAGTACGCATCCGTCAGAAACCCTAACCGTGCGGCGTTCTCCCACTACGATAGTTCCCTCCAATTACTCTACTCCGGCAGCCAGGTGGGATTCATGTTCATCCCCGCCGGCGAGATCGACGCCGGCAGGACCCAGTACATGGCGGCGACGTTTTCGGTCCAGTCATTCCCGTTGTCGTCGGCGCCGGCGAACTTGGGTCCCACCCTGACCAGTGGGGAAGGGGTTGGGTTAAACAATATTGGGTTGAGAGTGGAACCAACGATTGAGATCGAGTCAAAGTTGGAGATGGCGGGGCGCGTGAGAGTGTTGCACTTCTTCAGTCATCACGTGCAGGCCAACGCTGGTTGCAGGGTTGCCATTGCCGCCACTGATGGATCTGTGTTAGGCTTTCACTGCTAATTAATTCGTCTTCTCTCTATTATAATCTTTTTCATTTTTATTTTATTTTTTTAATTTTATTTTTGTAACTCTAGACTTTAGTAGTAGTATATATTGTTGTAGTTGTTAGTCACGTTAAGCATCATAATCGAAATTGTAAAAATGATTTTTCATTTTTCCTTGTTGAATGCAAAGTTTAGTCATTGTTTGTTCTTCAACCACTTGAATTGGGAAATTGAGAAATGTTGTAATCTATTTATTTTATTTTAATTTATTCTATATATATATATATTTGAAGGGGGGTGTGTGTGTATGAGTGGGGACAAAGGAAGAGTGAGTGATTATGTTCTTTTCTTGATACAAGTTAAAGGTTAAGGAAAGTGTAATGTGGGGAGGCAGAAAGTGGATAGGAATGATGAAGTTTGAAAAGGAAAATGGAGGGAGGAAGGGAAGGGAAGCTTTTTTAGTTAATTGTAGGTTAAGTAAAGTTGGATGCCATTGTTGCTAGTGATACTAATTGACTGAATCATCGTCACCTTTGCAATTGCATTGGAGGTTGCAATTGCAATCAACTCAATCAAAATTCGGAGTGAGAAAGAGAGAAAAGGGGGGCCAGGCCAACCTTGCTTTGGAATGGGTGTGGCATATTCCTAAAAGATCGTGAAATGCGGAAGTTCATTTGTGTTGTCTGACACTAAGTAATTATGATATTTCTTTTTTAATTGATGGCAATGGAATCTTGAAATAACAACCTAACATGTAAATAGAGTAGTAGTTCATGATCTACCTACTGATGTATAGACCAAGACCACTCCAATCATGGAATGTGAATTTGTGAGATAGGTAAAAAGAAAAGGAATACTTATTATAAATTGTTGTTTTTATTTTAATTTTTTTTTTATGAAGACTAAAATTGTTTATTTATTCTTTTATAACAAAAATATACTTATCTTTAAATGTTTGAATAATTAATTAATAATGACGAAGTCCATGATAAATTATGAATTACTAGATTTTCACCCGTGGACCACAAGGTGATTTAATTTTAAAAATCTAAAGAAAGTTTCAAATGAATTTAAATTTGTCGACCATAATCCAAGTCAATTTATAAGTACGTGAAAAGGAAAAAAAGAACATATTAAGTAGGCATTGATTCCAGTTGTACTAAAAATACCTCATACATCCTTACAAAAAAAAATAAAAATATGTCAGGAGTAAATTCTCTCATATTAAAAAAGACATGACATAATTATGTAGACAATTATAATTATATAAAAAGGATCAATAACAATAAAAGAGGAAAGAAAAAAATATTAAAATAAATAATTATAAATTATAATTATTAATTTATTTTTATATAATTATGATTATCCCACTTAATCATGTCATATTTAGAATAAGCAAAAGAGTTCCATTTCCAAATAAAATATCTCACACAAAGTCTGGGCTGTATTAATGAGACAGGAATCATTGGTACTGTAATAACGCTCGTTTTTCAGATAGTATTAATTGCATACACCGCGCAACAAGATTTGTTCGTGACTTTTGATCTAGTGAAAAAGATATTGTTTACCACCGTTACAATCAGGGATTTTTTTATTTTTTATTTTTAACAATCAGGGATTTTAAAATGCACCGAGTTCTATAAGTCTATTTAAATAATTCAACAAAATATGTGAACTAAGTAAATAAAATTGAATTAAGAAAAATAGTTTTGACTTGACTTAAGCAGCTTACAAGTTTTATAAATGTAAAAAAAAAAAGTTAATGAAATTCTCTTTTATAAGTTTATTTAAATGTTATTTTAAAATAAATATTCACATATTTTAATTAACAATGCATTTTAATTTTTTAAAACAATTTAATTTAATTTTTTGGATATAAGTTAATTCAATAAATTATTTGCTATTAACATTTTAGGAATAAATTCTTAATTTATACAAAAGCAAACCAACTAATTAATTTAAATCATGGTTTAAATTATAATTATTTAAAGAGTTGTTTCTATATGAATCCGATAATACTCCAACCGATTAACTAAGTTTCCCACGAACAAAATAGGAAAAAAAAAAATATAGTTATAAAAATTGGAATAGACCAATTGGTTCGATGAATCAATCAGGTCATTAGTCCGAATAATCCAAAAACCTGGACAATTAGTCCACCTTTTATTAGTGAAATTTTAAACGAAACCAGAAAGGCTAAGAGCTCAAGGAAGAGAACAGAGAAGCTAGGAGAAGAGAGACTCTCATATTGGAACGTATTTCATTGATTACAAAAGCTGTACAATAGATCTATTTATAGATCAGTGATTATAGATATCAATCTTAACTACTTTCTGTTATAGTCTTAACTACTTTCTGTTATAGTCAGTTAGTTTACCTTATGTCATGGTTAGTTCACTGTTATAGTTAGTTTACAGTTTTGTCCACATGGTTGGACTTGCACCGATTCATTTTCATCTAGGACCAATACTATTAATAGGTCCTCCTCTGTAAATTGTTGATACTTTTGATTATTCAATTCATTGATGACTTTCCAGTTTATTACATTTTGTAAGAGAGAGGATAATCAGTTGCCTTTGGTGCAACTGAATCCGTGAATAGTGGAACAGTCACTGACAACTTAAACTAACAAAGTAACTGAAAGCTAAGTGCAGTAACTAAACTAAGTGCACTGTGATGAATTAGCTGATTTACAATGTGGAGAATATAGCTAATCTACTGTATACTCTAATATTCCCCCCTCAAGCTCAAGGAGGATGTAGCAATGATGTGTGATCAAAAACCTTGAGCTTGTCTCTGAGTTCTCCAAATCTTGCAGCAGACAAAGGCTTGGTAAACGTATCAGCAACTTGCAGTGGACCAGGTTTGTGTTGGACTATAAGGGATTTTGCCATAACTTTCTCCCTTACAAAAAAGAGATCAAGCTCCATATGTTTGGTCCTGGAATGGAGAACAGGATTGTGTGCTAGAGCAACCGTGCTTTGGTTGTCGCAATAAATAACTGGAACTTTAATAGGAACCTGTAATTCCTTCAATAAGGACTGAACCCATAGCATTTCAGCTGCAGCATGTGCAAGACTTCTATACTCAGCCTCAACACTAGAACGAGCCACAAGAGTTTGTTTCTTTGCCCACCAAGAAATGGGATTAGAACCTAAGAACACACATGCACCTGATGTAGATCTTCTGTCATCCGGATCTGCACCCCAGTCAGCATCACAAAACGCCACAAGTGAGAGTGGTTGATGCTTGGAAGGAGGATGAAACAGAAGCCCATAAGAGATGGTTCCTTTGAGATATCTAAGAATCCGTTTGACAATTTTCCAATGCTCCTCTAGTGGTTGAGAGAGAAACTGACACACCTTGTTGACACTGAAAGCTATCTCAGGTCTGGTCAAAGTAGCATATTGCAAAGCTCCTACAATCGATCTGTAGAGTGAGGGATCCGAGACATAATGAGAACCATGTTTACTTAATTTGCAGCTGCTAGGCATGGGAGAAGATATACTCTTGGAATCTGTCATACCAGCCTTGTGCATAACATCTTTGATGTACTTTGACTGAGACAAAAAAAGTCTGCCATTAGAAAGTGATTTGACTTCAATGCCAAGGAAGTAATCCAAATTACCAAGTTGTTTGAGAGCAAACTTGGAGTTTAGCTGATTAGTGAGATGTTGTATGAGATCAGAGTTGCTACCAGTGATTATAATATCATCTACATAAACCAAAATGTAGATGCAATGACCATTGGATCGAAGAATGAAGAGAGAAGGATCACACTTGCTAGAGACAAAGCCAAGCTGATGAAGTGCTGCTTGAAATTTCTCAAACCAAGCCCTTGGAGCTTGTTTGAGACCATAAATGGCTTTATCAAGTTTGCAAACTAATGACAAGTCAGTAACCTCAAAACCAGGAGGTTGAGTCATGTAGACTTCTTCCAAGAGTTCTCCATTGAGAAATGCATTGTTAACATCTAGTTGCTTTAAGGGCCAACCATTAGACAATGCTAAGGTGAGCATAACACGAACAGTAATGGGTTTAACAACTGGAGAAAAGGTTTCATTGTAGTCAAAACCATGTTGTTGATGGAAACCTTTGGCAACAAGCCTAGCCTTGTATTTATTGATAGTCCCATCTGGATTTTCTTTAATGCGAAATACCCATTTGCAGGCCAATGGGTTGTCTAGAGGGAGGTAGAGGGATGAGAGACCAAGTGTTGTTAGCAAGGAGAGCATTATACTCAGTGCGCATAGCTTGACACCATTCAGGAACTAGCAGTGCTTGTTTGACAGTGGTTGGCTCCATATGAGCAGTGAATAAGGAAGGAGCAGGACCTTTGGATCTTGTAAAAAAAGTGTGAGTTGGAGAGTAAGGCATGTGGTTACGTGGAGGAACATAGTCAGATCCTGATGTGAGAGGTGGAGTGGAGGAAGAAGCTGATAAAGGAGACTCAGTGAGGGAAGGACAGGAATTAGTAAGGACAAGAGTGGATAATGGAGTAGAGCCAGGACTAATGTTGATGTTGACTATACCAAGAGGTGAAAGAGACTGAGGACTCAAAGTAGCTGATGCATCTATGATAGGTAGAGTGGCTGGTCCAGGAGAAGGAAGATGTGTAAGGGGTTGTGCTGCTGTATCTGAGATGGGAAGACTTGCTGGTCCAGGAGAGGAAAGATGAGGAATAGGCTGTGTGGTACAGTGTGATGTTTGATGAGAGCAATGGGGTGCAAGAGATGAGACCCGTGATTGTTGAATAAGGGAAGCATTGGGGAAAGAGCAAAAAGAAGGAAGGATGTTGCTAGAATAAGAGGCTGAATTTGGGATAGGTGTGACAGAAGCTGAGTCTGAGGGAAACAAAGCTGAAAATGGAAATTTATTTTCATTGAAAATGACATCTTTGGATATATAGAGTTTGCCATCTGGACTGAGGCATTTGTACCCTTTGTGGTTAGAGGAGTAGCCTAGAAAGACGCACTCATGGGACCGAAAGTTAAACTTGTGCTTGTTGTATGGTCGAAGAAGGGGAAAGCAGGAGCATCCAAAAGTTCGAAGGAAATGGTAATTAGGAAGAGATTTATAAAGGG